GACACTGAATAGAGAAGCGAGGGAGGTACATACTGTATTAAAAAAAATGTTCCTGAGCACAGAATACTCACTTTGGCACCAAATATATATATATATAAGAAAATATGGAGTAAGAAATATTCATACAGAGAAATGTGGAGACTACGAACTGTAACTTGAGGGAGGGATGAGCTCCCCAGAGTAAGATGCCCCCCATCCCTACTTTTTTTTCATCTGATCAAATGATTGGGTTATTGTAATTATTGTGGTAACAATTAAAATAATAATAATTACATTTCAAATGCTTCCTTTTTTTTAAATCTTTTTTTTTTTTGATCATAGCTTTGTCATAACGTCTTGTCCAATTAGTGGGACAATATGCTAATTTTTATGTTTTTCCTTTTTGTGCTATAAAAAACAAAAGGAAAGGGGAATTCCACCATTTTTTTAAATTTCTACAAAATTAAATAGTTAAGATGTAAACAAAGTCATTCAGAGTGGTTTGATGTGAAATTCTCTGTTCTAGAGAAACCTACTGAGTAGAGGTGATATGAACCAGATATCTGGAGCATTTCATGCCTCTAAAGGTCCCCCACAGAAAGTTATTACATGAAATGGTTATGAATATGCTGTCTGATGCCTGAGACATTGTTTTACATAGTTTTGGGATGAATATGAGCAATTATTTTAATACATTGATGTAGGAGAAGTACTGTAAGCCCAAATAGTCTCCAAAGAAAACATATTTTCTCAGATTTTACCATCAATCAATTACATATAAAAACTCAATAGACACATAAGTTTCACTAGTTGTTTTTTTATTCTAAATAAAATGTCTATTTTTGTGTTGTAGACAATGCATCTTCTGGTTCTTATCACCACCACTGTAAAGAAATCATTAAGTTTCTTCTAAAATGATTAAAACCACATCACATCAAATCCCTCTGAATGAGTTCAGCCATTGAATTATGCAGACATTTTGAAACATCAGTGGAATTCCCCTTTAAAATGTTGTATTTGGTATGTTGTTAAGAAACATGAACACCCTGGTGAGCCTGGCAATAGAAAACATCCTGGCAGATCAGACTACATTCAGTGATGCTGAAAAATTGTTTAAGAACTATTTAACAGATTGAGAACACAGAACACTCGCCACGATTTAAACACAGAGAGAAAGAAATATGTCAGAGGGTTTACCACAAGAAAAAACTGAATTACAGAGGAACAGTGATTTGGTTCATTTCTGCACAGTTGAATGGTTAAGATTTACAACACAGTCATTCAGGGCGGTTTGATATGAAATGCTCTGTTCTAGAGAAACTTGTCATTGTTCACAGTGGAGGTGACAGGAGCCAGAGAGCTGGAGCGTTGTCTCTAAAAGCTTCCTCAGAAAGTTATTATGTGAAATGGTTATGAATAGACTGCCCGATGTCACAGACATTGTTTTATGATAATTATGCGGATAATTGGCCTAAAATGTGTTTTCAAAAATGTCTACATGGTGGAGAGGTACATACAGGCTATTGTAAGACAAAATAGTCTGAAAAGTATTTGTTTATTCTAGATTTACCTCTATTTTACCATCATCAATATTACATTACATAAAAACTCAGAACACACATAGGTTTTTATGTAAATAAAATGGCTATATTTGTGTTGTAGATATCATGATCACTAGTTCCTATCATCACAACAGTAAAAAAAATCAGTCAGTAAGTTTCCATCTCAAGTACAGAATTATGCTAAAATTGTGGAATTTCCCTTTAACTGCTGTCCAGTTTATTTTCCCCACCTGAGTGCAGGTTTATGCCCCTTCACCATCCTGTACATGCTAAACACATGCACAGATATGACATAATTTAGCCGCTAAGATGTGAACAAAGTCATTCCGAGTGGTTTGATGTGAAATGATTCACTGTAGATAAACATGCTGACTTGGATTTCTTTACAATGGTGGTGATAGGAACCAGGTGTTGCAATGTCTCACAAAGATTTTTTTATATGTAATGTTGACAGTGAAATAGTGGTAAAGCTGAAAAAATAAGTTTTCTTCTGGGATTATTTTGCTTTGCAGTGCCTTGAATGCCTTTAAAAACATTTTAGGCCAAGACCACCTCTGAACTATCATAACACAACGTCTCGCGCATAAGGCAGTGTATTTGTAACCATTTCATTTAAAGGTGCAGTGTGTAAGATTTACAGGGATCTGTTAGCAGAAATGGACCATGTTTTGATTAGTGTATAATGACCTGTAACTACGAATCATTGGGTTTTTGTTAGGTCAGAACGAGCCCTTAATTTCTACATAGGAAGCAGGTCTTCTTTCAACAGAGGCCACCATGTGGCGAGGGAGGGGTATTCAGCTGGTTGCAATCGGCAACCGCACCGCTAGATGCCACTAAATCTTACACACTGCACCTTTAATAGTTTCATATGACGTAGATTTTAGAGGCACTGAATGCTTCAGACATCTGGTTCCCATTACCATCAATAAACAATTCTGACTGTGTGTTTCTCTCAAACAGAGCATTTTACATCAAACAACTCCAAATAACTTTATTTATATATCAATGACTGAATCATGCAGAAATTTTTAAACATTGGTGGCATTGCCCTTCAAGCCATTTTCCTCTACTTTCTTCAAAAAAAGCTGCTCAGCACATTATGTCTGTTTGGGCATCAAGTGCAGAAGTAAACATGGGATAGATGCACTGTGTTATTGTAACAAACAGTAAGATAATACGTTCGATTAATCAGACAGGAACAACATTAAAGAGAAAAATGAGGAGACTTCGCCAGCCCCCCCGCCAGCACCTGGACAGGAGAAGAGATATGGCTCTTACTAAATTAAATGTAATTAAGGGGAATTCAGAGGGTGCTTGTAGCTCCCCGTCGGTGTGTAGGAAGTGGTGAAGTGAGACATCCTGAAGCCTGCAGGGCTGAGTCACCACAGAGAGGGGCGAGGACAGATGCCACCAGCCAGCCTCTCTCTCAGCTCCTCATGTGGACACGGAACGCTCACGCTGGCAAAGTCTGTCACCACTGAAGAAGATTAACACTGCGGCCCGTGTCTAATCTCGCTCGCCAATCATTCCCCAGTGACCGGAGGCTGCTCCAAGTCCACGGGCAACACTGTTGTTTACCGCGGCCGTGGTGGCCCTGTGCCACTCTGTTGTTTAATACATGGCACGACTCAAAACCCGGCAACTGTTGACCTCAGCATGTAATAACAGGCAATGGCTCGAAGAGAGAAGACATTGCACTACCAGCACTTCCTAATGCCAGAGAAGCTGCGCCTGCCAAAATGTCTTTCTTTCCCCCAGAACAACAGACCCACAGATCCAAACCACACAACACTGTCAAACAATGACCAGGTCTGAGTCCACATCTGCTAATATTTCTGACTGAATCTGCCTTTAAAGGCTGGAGACTGTAAACATTTATACATCCTATGAAAAAAGGCCCTTGTTTCCATGCGTCACTGCTCTCAGTGCATCAATTAGGCCTCACCAGGAGATCTAGTATATAATTGAAGGCTAAATGTATGAAGCTCAGAAATGAGTCTAAATTGCCCTGACGTCTATAAAATTATTCAAATTTATGGTAAAACTCTTAAAGTACCCCCCACCCCCTTCATGCTGAGAGCTGACATTCAGCTTTTATCATCATTCAGACTGACAGCAATACATACAGTTTATATCAAACATCTGCCCTGTTATTTATGAACTTTAAATGTATTATTATTATGTGTCAACGTGCCATCACTGACACTCTGAGAACATTTTGAACCTCACCCTTTCCCAGAGAAAGAAGGCTTGAGCACCTCAAGGTAAATGTTAGAGGGGAGTTCCACCAAATGTCCAAAATTTCAGCATAATTCAATTATCAAGACATAAACAGCCATTCAGAATGGCTTGATGTGAAAGTCAGAATTGTTCATACTGGTAATGGGAATCAAACATTTGAAACATTTAATGCCTCTACCTGACACAAAACCATTAAAAGGCCCATAACCTGCATTTTATTGTATTTTATTTTTATCCTTTTGAGGTAAACCTATAACATTTGTATGATTTTATGTATCAAAAATGGTCATAATTCATTTTTACATGACCATATTCCAAACTCTTTTTATCCTTTAGAATGGAACAGGTTGGTTTTGTTTCTGTGCCTTTAAGAGTGATGTTAGATAAATGAGCTCTGGTCTGTATTACACCTCATTAAAAAAAACAGAACTGAAACCCTCCCTAGAGCTTCAGCCTGAATGGGCGGGGCTAAACTGCTCTAGGCTGAATAGGCAGATATATGTAAATTAGTTTATTCTTGTGACATCAGAGAAATAATGAATTTCAAAACAGGCTGTTTTTGTAGCTTAGTTTCCATATATGGACTGTATGGACTGAGGAGCGAGTGGATTGTTTTGAAACTGACAATTCAAAAAAAGCAAGGGAGATTTCCACGATATGGGCCATTTAAATGAAGTGGTTATGAATATTCTGATGCTTGAGACATTGTTTCACTATAGTTTTGACCTGTTTTTCAATTAATTAATGGTGGAGACATGTAGGGTTTTGGCAAAACAGCACCCAAGGAAAACTTTTTTCAGATTTACAACAAACATTACATACAAAACTCGTAGGTTCACGTAGGTTCACTGCTCATTTTGTATAGTAAATAAAACGGCTATATTTGTGTTTGACACTGTGAGCAGTCAGCACCACTATAAATTAAGAGTTGACAAGTTCCTCTACAATGACTCATTTCACATCAAACCATTCTGAATGACTTTCACATTTCAGCGATAGATTTATGCGGAACTTTAAAACGTGTTTTTGGGTGTTATTTTAATAGGCCAAGAAATCCCTGTCCTGTTGTAAACCATTTTAGCCAATGGCAAACCACAACAGGAACACTATTCAATTTGATCCGCCTCTCAGTGAGTTGGTGGGAAAAAGACTGATCAGCAACCTATACTGGTTGATACACACAACTGTCAGCCAGCCTAAACATGATAAATAAAGTATTGATATTACAAAAACATTGTTTATTTAATAAAACACCATACAAAACATGGGTTCATGAGAAAAACACTTGGGAATGCCTACACTGGAGAACAACAGATAACAGTGCACTGCTGCAGAATTGCTCCTTGGTGCCCTCTGGTGGCCACATCCAAAAATTACACAAATAAGCAGTAGCTGATGTTTTGAAAGCAAGGGTCTTGAGCTCCAGTCTGGGGAGCTTGATCTAAATTATTTCGACTGTTGGAAATTACACTGTGTGTAAGTGCTGTTTCTCGTTATACTCATTATTTCATCATGTTTTCAGCTTTCAAACTGACCAAAGTGAGGAAAAAAAACAGCTATGAAACAATCAAGTATTGGTGTTTTTTTAACTGGTGATCCACCTTTTAAGAGTCACAGTAAGAAACCAGTTAGCTTTCACCAGACTGCTATTCTGTTGGTACAATAACAGAATTAAGCACTGACATTAGAATGCAACTGGGGTTTAAAAAAAAAAAGAAAGAAAAAGGAAAAAAACAAAATGCCGAAAACAATTCCCATGCACAATGGACTTGGAGGGATGACGATCTCTTCCAGTATTAAAAGAGCAAAGCCAGTGTGCAGAGAGATGCAGGCTAACTACAGTATGGCTAACTACAGCTGGTGTAGTTGTTAATAGCCAGGTCCATGTCTGAAATTACTCCTCATGAGTCATTAGGAAGTCCAAAAAGCTTGACAGTCCCTGCCTCCCGATTACTGTCATACTTCCCTTCTTTATCGTCACAGGCATACGCCAACAACGGCCTCTTTGGGTGCCAGGCTACAGTGAAGGTTGGAGACTCACACTGGACCTCCCAAAGCTTCTCTCCTACAAATAAAAGCATCATGACTATTTATAGAAAAACCTGACAAATCTTCTCATTTGCATAAAAGCAATGAATGTTTTGGTTCTAAGAAGCTGGTATGTTTAAGATGTCAGTGTGCACAGTGTTTACCTGTCTCCACCTCAGCAATGTCAATGAAGTGATCCTCAGAGGCTGATGCCAACATTTTGCCATCGTGACTGAAGCTCAGGGTTCGCACTGGCCAGTCCAGCCTGTAAAGCACGAGATCAACTTAAGGAGGGCTGTATGTAAACTTTCTAAGCAGGTAGTGCTGGTGCTAGAAAACCTGTAAATATTGTAGCAGAAATTAAAATATTGTAAGTCTATTATAACACTGCTACAAAGAGTTAATTCCAACTGTCACTTTATCTGTGAAAAAACAGAAGCAGCATGCAAAAGCGTTTATGGTTATTTCTTGTGAAATGTAAAGTTTTCCCCACATTTCTCATTTTCTCCACAATAATTTAGATTCCCCGCAGGGTGAAACTTTTAGCACCAAAATATTTTTAACATTTTTGTGTATCATGAATGAAAATATGCCAGCAGTAGTTTGCAAATGTATGGCTGCAGTCACATTTCAAAATGTGAGTCTGTTCATAAATTCAAAGCGAAATGTCATTATATGTGATGTAATAGACGAAATTTAACGTGATCAGTTCATTCTATAAAAATATATAATGTAAAGACAGCAAAGACAGTACGCACAGCAATGGGTGCCTCAGCTTCCGAATCCAGAGATGCCATTAATCTGACATTTTGATATGATATGATCCCAAAACCCAAACGATTTGAAATCCCATTACATATGACATTATGACATTCGAGAGCCTTTCTTTATAACGTTCTGATTCATTCTATAGTGCTCAACTCACCTGAGGAACAACTACCAGAAAACACTAGAACTTGCATGGCTGTGTTTAAGGAAAAGGCTGGGAAATTGACTACAACTTCCATGAACAGTAAGACTTGACAAAATATTTAAATGCAGATGTGTGCACCACAAACACACACACATACAAAGATTAATTTCCCCTTGCATATATGCCAATACTGTTGCACTGTACTTTGTTTAACATAAACTACATGCATCACCAATTCTGATCCTTGAGGGTGGGAGCCCAGCACAGTTCTGTGGTTCCTTTGGTCTAACACACTTACCAAATCTGGTAATTGACCCCAAATCTCTAGAATGGGAATCAATGATCCCTAATTTATACTGTAATAAAATGGACTCTTTCTTGCTCATAGTAGAAAAGAAGAATGGATAAATGTTGATATCTTGTATTTCTTTTCCTGACAGTCTCTTTACCTTGAGAAACAGCGAACACACACCAGCTCTTCAACATCCCAAAGACTGACGAGGGCATCTGCACTTCCAGTAGCGAAGTACTTGCCGGTGGGATCAAATTTGATGCAGATGCAGTTGGATGGATGAGCGTTGATTGACTGAATGAGCTTTAGGTCAGGGTAACTGGAACAGAGATTCATTGTAAAGCAGGTGTGAAATCAAAGGGAGTAAGTGCACTTACAAAGGATTCAACCAGATTATTATGCATCCCAGCAGACAATGCAATTAACAAATAAAACCTAACTGCTGTACCTCAGGATGTTGATGCAGCCATTGCCGTTTGTCAGAAAGAACATATCATTGTCATTGTTCCAAGAAATCTCATTGACCTCAAACTTGAACTGTTCTTCAGCACGTGGACGGTGAGTCTTGGCATCAATGAAAGTAACCACATCATCCTTGTTCCCAACAGCGATGGTCTGACCATCAGGACTCCAACATATGTTAATGTTCTCTCCTAAGAACATAGCACACCACAACATATGTTCTGTAACTGAACAATAACTGTACAATTAATAAATTGCTACAACAAAATAGGTTTGTGCCAACAAATGGATGATATAGTAGAAATATAAAAACATGACACTGCTACACATCTTTTAATATTCTTCTCCTAACACTTCTTCTATTAGTTTGAACTTAAATGACAAATAACACAAGGGATGCACAATTATTTAAAATACTGATGATTGGATAGATGTTTAGATTTGAACAATATTTCAGACCAACAGTTTGTCATATTTATTGTACTCCAGAAAGCAGAACATTTACTGTGATAAAACATGCATTTTATCAATGTTATTTGCAACCTTATAGAAATAAATTTCATTTTTATTCCTAGAGAAACTAAGTTAACACACCCTCCACAAGGGAAAAACTTACATATGGCATTTTTTTCCCTGCAACTTTTAGTGCATAATTTCTATATATTTGCTGACTTTACATACTGGGGGAGGGATGGGGGGGACAAAGGCCATAATTTACTGTTTTTCTTATTCCCAATATGTTAAGTTCAGTAAATAAGTAGCAATTGTGCATTAAAATGTGCAGAATTATGTTTTCTGTGTACCTTTTTCACTGATTTTTCATTCTGAACGCTGACTATAAAGTCAAGGGACAGCTTTACAGATGTCCCCTTGAAATTCATATTCAAAACTCTAGATCAGTGTTTCCCAAACTATTCCTCTGCAACCTCCAGACAGTCCATACTTGGTTTTCTCCCAGCTCTCAACACAAATGAAACAGATATTCAGTATTTTAATTGTTTGGTTTGGGTTCGTTGGTAGCTGCCAGAGAGATAAACGCTGATCCAGGTGCAAGGAGCAGTAATCAGAAACCCTGAATGCTCTGTTTACAGTCCTAAAGCTTTTGAAGAGGACAATTACTAGCATAAGAAAGTGTTCCTATTTTAATGAAAACATATCTTCTAGAATCTCCTTTATGTATGAAACACTGTTCATACAAACATGATGTGGCTTTGAGGCCTCACCTTTAGTGCTGACCGTGGCCATGCATTTTGTAGTGCGCACATCCCAGATCCGTATGGTTTTATCACCTGATGCAGTAACGAACAGGTCTGGGTTGGTTGGATGCCAACACAGCTGGTCAACACTGTCTCCATGACCTCGGTAGTTATTTTCTCTCACCTGTCGAAATGGGCAGAACAGTAAAAACACTGGGATTAGCAAGAAACTGCTGTCAGGTAATAAATACACTGTTAAAGTTAACCAGAGCTAAATGAACAATAAAACACAAGATATCACAAGAAACGACGTCAGCTGTCTGAAGCTGATTAGCTTATCTTCTAATTCGAATCACCAGTTTCACCTTAAACGGTGCAGCATTAATATTCTGCAGCATGTAGCATTTAAGGTAGAACTGATGATGTGAATTAGAAACTAACCTCAGTCTCGTCCGCTGCAGTTCATTTGCTACTTGAGTACAGACTCTTACCAGACGGTCTTTTTCGAGGACAAAAACACTCGCTGTCTTGTCAAATGAGCCTGAAGCCAGTCGCTTTCCATCGCAACTCCAGGCGACTGAATGAACTTTGGCGCTGTGAGCGGGAAACTCGCGGCTTTTGTTATTATTTCTGAAATTCTCCTGCATTTCTTGATAGTAGGAGGACGCCATGTTCGCGGCTACTTCGTCTTTTACTGCACCGGTTGTGTTTACCGAAAGCGTAACGAAGGCGCCACCTACAGTGTGGGAGGAAGTTGTTTCTCCGTGTGTTTAAACAGCCGATTTTGGGGGGGGGGGAATTCCTTTGAAATGAAATAATGTAATGTAGTATTCATCATATATGAAAAGTAAGCTGCACAAATACACTGTTTCTGTGATGTCATGATAACCAACACATTTAAATGTATTCGCCTATTTAGCAATTTAGCCTCGTCAGGAGTGTTTGAGCCTGGACTACCTTTTGAATGCCACCTAAAAATTACATAGTGCACTACGTAGGAATTTAACTAATGTAGCTAAAATAGTCATTAAAAGTCATTTGGGATTCAGACACATCCATACTGAACAAACAGTTTACTATTTAGCTACGTTAGCTGTAGAAACTAGAATTTCAACACCTCCATAGCTCGAACACTACTTGACTGAAACGAGGGCATTTGAAGCTTAGAAGCCATTCAAGTAATTCTTTAGACTTTCATTTGCAATTGTACAGTGAATTACATTGTAAGTACATTTAATTCAAGCCTGTGATTTTAATGATGGAGTTGTTAGCCTGTTAGCTAGCTGACCAGCCTAGTTCTAGTTAAGTTGTATGCCCTTCATTTTAAACACACTGTGCCATGGCGCAGTAATACAGAATTCAGTTGTTGTAAGGCGGCCATAGGTGTGCATATATCAAATATTTTACAAAGGCTTCAAACGCCGCTCCGCCAGTCAGATTTCAGGACCGGAACTATCCGTTTATAATTGGTTTACATTTACACAGGTAGATGTCAAATACAGCTGGCTGATCTGATACAGGTGGATGTAAGATTGGCAGATGTATGTATAGTGCGATTAAAATGATAAGGATAGAGGTTGTCTTCAACCTCTTAAAGTTGAAACTGACTGCCAGATGTCTGTGCATATTCAAAGGGCCCATATTTTCATGAAAACCTTAATTTTCCTCACTTTGTAATGACTATTTTATTTATTTATTTGCTTGTTTGTTTGTATATGTATATTCAATTTCTATTAAAGTTTCGAAACTTTACTGGGGCAGTTGTGGGCTGGAGGTTAGGGAACGAGCCTTGTGCCGGTTCGATTCCCTGAGCCAACAGTACGTGACTGAAGCGCCCTTGAGCAAGGCACCTAACCCCCAACTGCTCCCCGGGCAGCGTGGATAGGGCTGCCCACCGCCCTGGGCAAGTGTGCTCACTGCCCACTAGCATGTATGTGGTGTTTCACTGCACGGATGGGTTAAATGCGGAGGACTAATAAGGGTCTCTTAATCTTAACCTAATCTAAAACGTACTGTTCAGCCCAGACTACTTTCTGAACAAGGCACATTACAGGGCAGCCAATCAAAACAGGCCATCTACATATCTTAAAGGCACAGTAACAAACACAGACTTTAATTCTAAGAGAATGGGTTATGATTTATAGGGTTGGGTTATGATAAGTGGGCCTCAGGGAAAGCAATAAAATGTAAGAAAAATGTAGGATATGGGTCCTTTAAATGCCACAAATTACAACAAATACAGTCCACTGGTCAAGACATAAGAGGTTAATGTGGCTAAAAAATAATGGAAGTCTGTGTAACCCAAAATCTTATGGGGTGAAATACACTTCTGATATCAGCCTCCCTACTTCACTAAAGCAAACTTCAAACACCAAACAAGTCTTGGCCGACTGACTATGTTTGAGGTAAGGGAGACTGTGCAGCCATTTGGATCCACAAACAGAAATATCACAATACAAAACAGTAGTCGTTTTTCATGTTTATTCAGTCCAGTTTAAAAGGTATGGTGCAGGAGAATAACATGATTTTTAAATAAAAAGGTGCACTCATTTGTTTGTAGCTTCAAAACACGCACACACATTTTAAGATTACAACAGTCAGATAAAGTCCCAAGTGGGTCCTCAACTTCTTACAGCCTACAGAGATAGGCCTGGACGGCAAGCAGGCGGAAAGGAACCGAATGGTGTTACAGTAAGGCCAGTAAACATCCCGAAGGTGCTGACTTAGGTCATTTCATTTTTATTGATCTTCTAAAATTGTTTCCTTAAAAATCATACAGAGAGTTTTAATGTGCCATGTACATTAGAATTCGGATCTCAGTGGGTGTAGTAATAAAACCTCAGTAGAGCAGCCAAATTCTCTTCAGGCTGATGCAGTATCACTCTGTGAAAGCAGTGATCATCTGAAATAAATGTCTTGGCTCTTGCACACCATTACAGTTAGCAGATGATATTGCATCCATCGACTGGGGGGGCTATAAAAACCTCACAGCCCACCTAGCTCTACCTCAACACAAATGTGAAAAGCAAATATCATACGATCCTCAAGCAGTGAATTCACTGCAGTGCAAAAAACTTGGGAAACACAGGTGGAAGACATTAGAGGATAACATGTCACTCCTTAAGGGTGTTCACATTTTTACGATGTAAAGAACCTGTACAATTAAATATATGCTAGGAGGTGAGTTTGTCTAGGAGGAGGTAGACTGAATAGGCCCTCATCTATCTCCTTCATGGTTATTCATATCAATCACAGCACTTGCATGGCTTATATTTGCATCTTATGAGGACAGAGCCTCAGATATAACAGCAAAAGTGCCTTGATGTGCAGTACTGATCTCAGACTGATTCAGGATTGAGTTTTTGCATTGTAAACAATGATCTTTACTGTATAGTTCACTTTTTAAAATCTGGAAAGCAGAGCTGGGCAATGTGATGATGTATAGCCTTTTGTTATTGCAATATGAAACTAGATGTCAGAAATGTTACATATATAAAGATGTTATATGGTGTATTCTTGGCCTTGGATGCTAAATTGCATTGTATTGACCTACATTTTGCAAACAAGGCCTTTAAGCAAGGTTTTAAGGCCTTAATGCCCTTTAGGCACTTCACAGCTAGATGAGCTAATGACCAACTTGAGGTTTTGTGGTAATTGGACTAAAATAGCAGGCTAAAACCTCTCAACAGCAAAAACATAGTGTCGATATCATGTGTTCTGCGAATTTCTTGTGTTGCTAGATCTTTTTTCACCGTATAGCACATGCTGTGATAAAGATCATCTTGTGATGTAATTTTTAGGCCTTATCATTCAGCACTAATAGAAATGTTGGAGAGTGTAAAGATAAGGTTGTGGTAAAGTAATTTAAAATCATTACTGTAACCCCCAGTAAAGGAGTCATATGTAGCTACTCAAATGGAGAGAAGACCAGTGTTATGAAATGTTTCTAATCAAAAATCCTACTGAATGGTAAATCTGAGTATGAATGTTTCCTTTGGAAAGATAGTGTCAGCAATGCATTTCATACGCTGCATTTTGTATCTCAGGAGTTTTTTAAAGTTCATTGTACTCACTTTGGCCGGACCCAGTTTCAAACAGACTATTCACATAGGATCAATTGTTCATTTTTAAAACAAGAATGGAGTGGGTTCTCTTTAAGTTCTCAAGATGCAGGATGCTTCTAAAGAAAATGTTAAATACTGAGTGTTCCATGAGTGGATACAAACCCACAGCATCAGACGCTTTTGTACTGAATACCTAGAACTGAATATTTTCCAAGTACATTTGTGGAATTTGGAATAAAGAAAGTGAAAAACCAAAACAAGATTCTGTGCAAATACTGCAGCTGTCCTGCTAGTGCTGCTTTCTGTTAACACTCAGCATCCATGCTGCCATTTGCTTCGTTAGGGCCGTCTGCCGAGGAGCTGAGAGCAGCCTGCAGGTCCTCGTTCTGTGCGGGGTGGCTGATCCCATTAGGCTGCTCACTCTTCTCTTGTTCTTCATTGTTCTGTTCTCTGTAACACAACACATTTTTGAGCCTTATAGCTGCAAATGAAAAGACCAATAAAACCAGCCTAGGAAAAATAAATAAATACAAAAATTTGTGTATATACACACCACCACTTCATTACGTACCTTGTATCTATAATCTGTCCATTTTATCAACTCCACTTACCATATAGGTGCACTTTGAAGTTATGCAATTACAGTTCATCTGTTTCTCTGCATACTTTGTTAGCCTCCTTTTACCCTGTTCTTCAATGCTCAGGACCCCCACAGGACCACCACAGAGCAGGTATTATTTGGGTGGTGGATCACTCTCAGCACTGCAGTGACACCGATGTGGTGGTGGCGTGTTAGTGTGTTTTGCGCTGGTATGAGTGGATCAGACAAAGTGGTGCTGCTGTAATTGTAAAAATTGTGAACTACAGAGTGCACCTATATGGTAAGTGGAGCTGATAAAATGCACAGAGAGTAGATACAGGGTAGTTGTGCTTAATGAAGTGGCCCGTTGGTGTATATGAACAGAGGCTATTTATTAGGGACTGACCAATATGAAAATTTGTGACTGATACAAATACTGATTTTAATGGGATCAAAATTTAGGTAAGTGATCATGTTGGCTGATATCGTTTTATGTTTATATCTTAGCCTTTTATTTTTACTTAAACTGCACTTCAGTGATAGAAATAATCATCAGCTCTCAATTGTCACAGTCTGCCATCTGGATGCAGCCTTAGGTGCTAAATGGTATATAAGTTTCCATTACTTGTTAGTGACATCAGCCTCGTAGCACCAGGAGAAGCAACATCTAAACTCCTAAAATTAAGACTTCATCTAGCGTAAACCAACTTTCATAACCACAAAATAGCTGAGGGTACATTCATGTTGCACTGTTTAATGATACCTGTGGAAGTAGCTTTACCTAGTGCAGGACTTGAGGGTAACCAGTTCGGAAGGCCCTTTCTCAGAGAGAGACCTGTGGACAGCAGCTCTCTGTTTGGTTCCACTAGGCTCTGTGCCTGAGTCTGAGCTCCTGCGGGCTGTGGCTGTTTCTTTGCCTGAGTCTGAGCTGCTCCTGGAGCCAGCCTCACTGCCCGAGAGGGAACTGCTGCCCGGCCCATCTGTGTCTTTACCCGAGTCAGAACTATGCCGACCGTTCAGGCTATCAGATGAAGAGACCTTGCTGATCTGACCATCCATCTCATCTGCAGAAAAAGATATGAGAAGAGCGCAATGAGTTCGGCTGACTGTTTATGAAGTAGGTCTTGGTGAAGGTTTAGCTGCTAGAAGACAAACAAAGAGCAACAGTATAAAGCCATTGCATAGGATGGTTAAATCATATAGTGCCGGATGCTCTGATATTAGACTTGGTTGGATTAACCCCTTATATCCCAAGAACCCAATTTTCATTTTCTCACTCTCATAACTACATAACTTATGTTAGTTTAATTGTAGTTACTACATAACTACAACACCTAATAATGCTGATATGAATAACATGCCTGCAGTTTAAGGGGTTAAATTTACAAAGACATAAGAAAACTGAACTTTTCATTAAGCAACCATCAAAGAATTTAAATCTTTGGGGAAGCATGGTTAGAAATGCTATAAGAATAATCACTGCAAGCTTATACAGTGTATGATTTAGAATTAAATGAATTAGAGTACATATTCTAAGTATTGAAGGAGAATTACACTGATTTTGGTTTGGTTTGATGTAAAATGGTTCATTGTACAGAGACATCTACAGATTTTATTTTACAGTGTATTTTACAGAAACCAGGGCTCACATTGTCTACAATGCAAATATAGCCATGTTATTTACTATGCAAAATGACCAGTGAACCTACACATCTTAAGTTTTTATATGTAATGTTGACAATGATAAAATACTAGTATATCTGAGGAACAAAACGTTTTTTTTGGGGTTCTATTTTGACTTACAAGACCCCGCATGCAACTCTCTGCCATGAATGTATTTTAAAAATACTTTTTTAGGCCAAAACCTTCTCTCAAAACTATAGTAAAACTGTCTCAGATATCAGGCAACGGATTCATAATGTCATGTAATAACTTTCTATGATATAGCTTCTATTAGCATTTGGATGTCGGGTTCCTATCACCACCACTGTGAACAATTCTGACTTATCAAGTTTCTTTAGAGCATTTCACATCAAACCACTCAAAATGACTATGTTAATTACTGAACTAAACAGCAATTTAAAAAGACTGATAAAAATTTCCCTTCAACAAACTTAGAGCCCTGATTTTGTACTGTGAACATTATAAGGAGTTACAATATTTTGCCCCTAGCGGATAAATGAGAACCGGAACATGTTAAAAATCTGTACGTGAGTCATCATATTCATGAAACAAACCACACCATATAAGCAAGTATACACACATTCTATGTAATATAAAATGTATATGAACAAACATAATGCCAAGATTATTGATTATTTTGTATAAATTGTGCTTTTCATTTTAAAGATGTTTTTTGTCTTGAGTCTCACCTGCTGCAGCTGGATCACAGGCCTGCTTGCGTCTCCTCCTCAGAATCACTTCCAGTTCACTGTCCTTTTTAACAGGTAATGTTTCCTGGAATCCACGACTGGGGCTCTTTTTCACTGGGTCCTGAGAGGCCAAACAGAAAAAAAAATGAGCGCTTTCATGCACACACCTCCCTGGGTACCTTCACATTCATTACATCATCAACGATAATTTATTAATATACATGTATGGAACTGTATCAACGCTAACATCTCCATAAAGGAGAAGAGCAGGTACAATGAAAGCCCACATAAGTAGATATTGATTAAATGAAATGCAGTCATTCATCAGTTGAAGTACCAGGATGCCTTTCAGCTCCTCCATCGCGCTCTCCTGGTGTTTCTCCTCAGTGGCTGGATTTTGCGGCTGAACAGAAGGACAGCAGAGATAATGCTGAGTTGCACATTTCTGCCATTTCAGGCCACTACAGTGCTGCAATACTGTGACGAAGAGCAGCATAATGCTTCTTTTCACCAACATCTAAAACTGTTTTTTCCATCAACTTCTTTTATATTGTTATAGCTGGATGATACAGAAGAAGGGGTGGGGCTGTATCTGGCACTGAAACAGAGCACAGATGGTAGCTATTAAAATCCTGACCACTGGTCCGCATTATTGATTTTAACTCCTACAGCCCCAGTGAGTCTGAGTGTTTTTATGGTGGCCCAGTCAATCAATGCCTTAAACAGTCGATTTACTCTCTGTCTATGAGATGTCCACATACAACAATGCCTTAATAACTACACCATTCCTCAGGGAGAATGATCAATGAGCCTTTTCTACCATGTGGTTTCTTCAGTAGTGTTTTTTCAATGAAAAAGAAAACTTTAAGCTCATAACCACCTTCACATGCCCTAATATTCTTTTTGGTATACATGATAACCACTGAGTTGTCTTCTACTCTAATCTGATGGATTTATGCAGGACTGTCAAGCCAATGAAAAACGAATCATGATTAATTGCATGTTTTTGGGTAGCTAACCTTATTTGCTCAAATTGGATCCTAAAGAGAAGATTTATATCCCATTTAAAAAGCAGTGTATTTCCAGCATATTCCAGTTTTTATCATCAATGTCCTGTAAAAGCAACAGCGGGTACACGTTTCAACTCCTGCATGATTGTAGCTTCATGCTCTCAAATCACTATATTATGCCCTGTTTCGAGGGGAACTGTGGTTTTCCACTTTACTGTTACTTTTGTGTATTTTGCTGCTCACGGAATTATCTATAGCTCTCCAGCAAGCACTGACCAGTGTAGTCTAGTGAATTACTGATACTGCCACATTAGCGCTGTGTTTTGCTTGTAAATTATACTTCAGGTTCAATGTATTTTAGTGATGAACAAATTGACGCAGTTGCATTTAAAAAAATAGTGGCACTTATCTTTTACCTATTAGTGCATTATTAATGCATCACCTTTGATACCATTAGTTTAATGATAAAGTGGCAGGCTTACCTTTGTGCCAAATCTCTGAATATGACCGGATCAGTTCGGCAGGAAACATGTAATGTAGAACAGACATAATGTTATAGCTCCTGGGTTAGAGCACACAGCAACACACAAAACATTAACTCTTAGAAGTTGTCACCAGTAATAAAAAAACATTATATAATTCGATATTAATTATTTCTGTCTGTAGCTCATTGCAACGAGCACAGAAATTCAGCCAAAGGTGCAGATTCTAAACTATCAATCAATGCCGTATTTGTGTTTCTAAGTAGAAGGTATTTTATTAAGATTTGAATTTGATGAAAAGTTATTTCTATGCAGTTTTGTATTGTAGAAGGAAATACCATCTTTACACATTTTTGTCATTGCTTGATAGTAGTAGCCGCAGACACCACAGCTTCTCAGCAAAAACTGGTACTGTGAATGGTGCTTGTAATATTTACTAAATTTCAGAAGTGTCTAACGGTAGTAGATCAGTCGTAGAGACGCACATATGAGACAAATGACTAATTGCTAATTTCTGTTTTTACTATTTTGCCCAATAAAAATGTTTACTTCAGTTGTTAGATATGATTCTTATTAAAAGTGAAATAATATCCCATTGTTAATCTACAAAAAAGGTTTACTTAAGCATCCAAAATGGTTTTATTTGAAAAAATAAATCTAAATACACTATAGCATGATATATACCAAAACCATAAGTAATCTTAATTATATTGTGATATAAATTTTGCCCATATCGCCCACTACTACTTAATATTGAAAAAAAAAAATCAAAAGGTACAAAATTTGGCCTTCTATTGGTTAAAAACACTCCAAAACTAGACAATTTAATAATATTATTAATAATAATAATAATACACACTGAGCTTCACCTTTGTATCCTGTCCTTTCACAGGCCTGAGCACCACCCCATGTTTGATCCTCTCCATCATTTCATTGACAGCCTTCACTTTGACATCGTCCACAGCTTCATTCACTGCACAGAGAGGAGCCAGCATTTGTCAGGTAAGGTCAGAACAGGAGGCAGGCAAGGACAACACAGACAAATGTGCTGTTTGGACTGCATGAAGCCAAAAGTAAAGTCACCTGGAGCCTGCTCTAATTTTGGGGAGCCTTTTCCACCCTTGGAGGATTTCCTCATGATTGCGATGAGGGAACTATTTATACAATGAAATGAGAATAATGAGAAGATTCAGGCATGTCAGAATCAAGGATTAATGTCTACTATTAAACAATGTAAGCGCTGTAATATAAGCATTTTTGAATAGCTCATAACCACTAAAGATCATAAACATTTGACTAAGTCAGCAGAGTCATTAAAAAACATTTGCTCTGTGTTGTAGGGGCTGAGAGTACAGACAAACAGTATATGTGGCATTGCTTTGGTGCAGTAAGTGGAGCAGTACCTGAGGGGGTTGCAGCGAGAGGGAGGGGGTGGGGGAGGAGGGGGAGGAGGGGGTGGGGGAGGTGGAGGAGGCTGGGGAGGAGGTGCAGGGGGAGGTGCGGTCCCAGGAGACGGACCCGAGGCTGAAACACAGCTCCTCTGAGACTCCTGCAGCTCTTTCACTGCAGAAACAAGGAGATGTTACTGTAGTTATAGCATGCATCTCAAATGTTGCTTCATTGTTCTCAAGCATGGGTTTCTCCTAATTTTTATGAAAGCTGCAGCTTACACTTTTTTGAGATGGATTTGTTTTGTCAGACGAGATCCTTTAGTGTAATTTGAAAGCAACTGGACTGGCTGATAAAGTTTGGGGTGGGCGATGTGGCAAAAATATTTCATGATACTTCATTCTTGATACACAATGTGCATCACAATATGTTTTTCTGGAGTTTGATGAGATGAAGCAGACAAAAAAACAGTGGTGCCACACTTCACTAAATCCAGTTAAACAGGCCTCACTGCTCTCTTTGTGATGTAACATGCATTTCAATGTTTTTTAAGTACTGACAATAAAATAAACTCAGAGAAGCTTACTATGACATAACATGACAATTTATCACAACAACAAAAACATTGTCATATTGCCCACCCATATATAAAGTATCTGTGTTTTTTCTACAAGTGAGCCAATGAGACAACCTGCATTAAAAGGTCATAGCCTGGATGTACACATGAGTGTTAAGTGACAGATGTCACACTCAATTATAATAACAACACAGCACAGGGCCATGTCTACTAACAGGTTTGGATATTATGTTTTCATAATTCCTCTCCTAAAACAAAACTCTTACTTAAGGAGGACAGCAGTTAATTTATGTCCCTGCATGATTCAGCATGTCATTTAAAGGACAAAATTCTTGTTTTCCTTTAATCTTCTTTGAAAATGTAAAACTTCTGCCCACTTCTAGAACATCTGATTTCTGGCCATGTGTCAACAGTAATGGACAGAGAAAATAATATTAACCAAAAATATCATGTTTCAACTCCCACTACCACCACCTTCACCTATCACTAAGTGACAATGCTGGACTAGCTCAGAGACTGATACCATGTTTCACTTAGAAATTGTTCCGGAGCAGTAATAAAATTTGCTATGATTTCCAATTAACATTTCCGACACAGAATATTTTTCTCTGAATGCACCATTAGACTCTGAATAGCAGCAGGACAAGAGAAGGGGGGGCTGCGGTGTGTCTGAACTTGCTCTCAAAAGAAAATACATTTAATATGGATAGAATCAATACTGTGAAAAAGACTAATGATATCATTTCAAACTTTCAAAATCACTATGAATTTAAAAATCTATGTTTTTGACTGAGAGCTCCAGGTTCAACCAATTACAGAAGCTTATATACACTATATGGACAAAAGTATTGGGACACCCTCCTAATTATTGAGTTTAGGTGTTTCAGCCACACACATTGCTAACAGGTGGATAAAATTAAGCACATAGCCACGCAATCTCCATAGACAAACACTGGCAGTGACTTTAAACATGGCACTGTCATAGGATGCCAACTTTGCCACGAGTCAGTTTGTCCTGCTAGATCTGCCCCTGTCAACTGTAAGTGCTATTATTGTGAAATGCAAGCACCTAAGAGCAACAACAGCTTAGCCACGGAGCGGTAGACCACGAAAATTCACAGAGTCCGGCCACTGAATGCTGAAGCGCACATTGCCTATCCTCTGTTGAATCACTCACTAAAGAGTTTTAAACTGCCTCTGGAAGCAACATGACGCCAGCACTGGACTCTGGAGCAGTGGAAACGTATTATGTGGAGTGATGAATCACACTTCTCTGTCTGGCAGTCTGATGGATGAGTCTGGGTTTGGTGAATGCCAGGAGAACATTAACTGCCTGACTGCAGTTTGCTGACTGTAAAGTTTGGTGGAGGAGGGATAATGCATAGGGTTGTTGTTCAGGGGTTGGCCTAGGCCACCTAAGCTCCAGTGAATGGAAATCCTAATGCTTCAGCATAACAAAACATTTTGGACAATTATACGCTTCCAACTTTGTGGGAACAGTTTGGGGAAGGCCCTCTTCCGTTCCAGCATGACTGTGCCCCAGTGCACAAAGCAATGACCTCACAAATGCTCTTATAAATGAACGGGCAAAAAATCCCACAGACAAACTCCATAATCTTGTAGAAAGCTTCCCAGAAGAGTGAAAGCTGTTATAGCTGTAAAGGAGGGACCAACTCCATATCAATGCCTGGATTTAGAATGGGATGTCATAAAAACTCCTGTAGGTGTAATCTGTAATGTATAGTAATGTGTCCCAATACTTTTGTCCATATAGTGTATTTCACGATACTGTCAGACCTGACTATAAATTGCAGATTGATACCAGACTAAAACCACGTAACTTGAATTACAGTATCACAAATTATAGTATGTTCCAAAATAAATCTGGCTTTAATATTCTCAAATGTCATTCAGTCTTACTTTCTGAATGTAGAATACATAACAAACACCTACACTTTTTTGCGCAAGTGTTGATGCCCTTGTCGAATTATATTTTTTGTTGTTGTTGTAAATAAAAATAAGTTAACACACTCTCTACAGAGAACACGTCTGCACATTTTAATGCACAACTGTTTATTTGCTGAATTTTAAAACATAAAATATGGTCTGTGCCAAAGTCATGGCACATTTGATATTTAATTTTTTTTATAAATATGTTATGTTAAACTCAGCAAATAAATAAAATTTGAGCACCAAAATTTTGTGGAAAATGTATGTTTATTCCCTGTAGATGATATGTACTTATTGTCAATCAGAAAATCAACAAAACATGTCATTTGATGGGGGTTTTGAAACTTTTGCATGTGACTGCAAGTGACACTGAGACTGGAGCCTGTTCTGCTTGAGCTGCAGGATGTGAGCTCACCTCTGCTTTCCAAGTTGCTGCACTTCTTCAACTCCTCCTGCAGGCGCTCCTCCGTCTCTTTTTTCTCCTCCTCCAGCAACTCCAGCTGTTTCTGCAGCTGTGCTAGTTGCTTCCGCAAGGCACACTGATCAAGCTCAGCCTCCAGAGCCTTTACCTACAGGGAAAGAAAGGGAGATGAACATTTAGTAACTGTGAATCAGAATTATTTTGCATATCAGTGGAAGCCTTATAAAAGAAAGGAAGACATGATCACTGCAAAACACAACAGTTACACAAACCCACCCCAAATTATTGGTATTTGAAGGGCCCATATCATGAAAAAACAAATGTTCCTTGTGTTGTGTCTAATGTAGTATGTAAACATTGTTAAAATTTCAAAGTGTGCCATTCACTCCCTAGTCTGTACAGTCCATATATGGAAACTAAACTGCAAAAACAGCCTGTTTTGAATTCACTGTTTTTGTGATGTCATCTAAACCTATTCAGCCTACAGTAGTTTAGGTAGCGTTTCAAGACACAGTAGCAAAAACACCCTGTTTAATTCTAAGGGATAAAGTGAGGCTGGAAAATGGTAATGTTAAAATGAAATATGATGTTTTACATAAACCTGCACAAATGTAAGTGGCCCTAAGCTAGAAATATATGAGAAAATGTAGGATATAAAATGCAGCCACAGAATTGTCTTGTTAATGACTGAAATAGAATAATTTTTCAATCAGTTAGTTCTGCAAGTTTGCTCTACATTGGCCTTAGATCAAATACAACAATTAACAAAAAGTTCAGACTCAAACACTCAAAGTTTAAGCACTAAGTGAAGCACTGTAAATAGTATTTCAATGATGCAGCATATTGACTGAATGTCGTCCAAAAAGTTTCATCCAAGTTCTGAGTAGCTGCAGATCTATTCATTGATTGATGACCCACCAGCCCTGCTCTAAGCAGTTCTGTGAGTAGAGCTGCAGTCTGAGTTACTGTAGGCGTTCTGGCACTCTGACTACCTTCTGGGAACAACTGATTCTTTTCTCATCCTGTTCTCATCAGCCCTAGTTTATGTCTGAAAATATTTACACAGGAACACCATGTGTAAGTAAGTTATGATCTGCATCTGGAAATTCTCGGCTGCAACTTCTTCATAAGTCTCCAATACTTCATCCTTGATCTTATTTGAGAGCTGTCAAGCCCCCGGATTTCTCCTCTGATGTGCTGGGGTTTGTAATTAACACAGTGCAGTTTTGGAGGCGCAGCCAGCCTCCTATTTTATCCACATCCTCTCATTTGTTGTGGCTCCTCAAGGAAATTAACTATCTGCTGAGGCTGCAAATGCAGAGCAGCTTGTGCCCAATACTCGGCAACAGAATAGCACTTTTGTATTGTTGGTCTTTAGAGCTAAACACAGTACTGACAGATCCACAAGGCTTTGTGCACATCAGAGATGCAGTTTCAATTTTAATGTTTGTTCAGCACTAACTTTTTTTCTCAAATATCATCAGGTCTTTACCCTAACACATCCCATTATGCATTAAGAAGGTATGATATAAATGCATTATTGACATGAAAATTCAGAGTGTAAGTACTCTTTACCTTCTCTTGGTGCTGCAGCCGTTCCTGTTCCAGTGTTTTGGTTACATTAGCCACATCCTCCAAAGCCTTGAGCAGCTGAACACTGGGGTCTGCCTGCTGCAGGAGAATCATGCTCTGCCTGTTTGCCTCTTTTTGCTTCACCAGCATCTAAAAGCCAAAAAAAGAAAAAAGAAAAAAAAACAAACAATCCTTTCACTCTCTGAACATGTTCCAACCTCAAAACAAATCACCTAAATTTAGAGGAATACTGCTGTGGTTCGGCACCAAATATAGAGTCTTTTCTATCATTCACTGTACTCTGGCTGGAACCAGATTTTGAGGTCAGCTGGTAAAGGATAACAGACTCAACATTAGCATAAACATAAACGAGCTGCAGATTATAATCTTTAAGATTCCACAGATTTTTTAATATTTCTACACAACTAAACTGTCAAGATGTAAACAAGTGTTCTGATGTGAAAAGCTTTCTAGAGAAACTTATCAAATCAGAAGTGCAGTAGTGTTGATAGCAACATTTAATGCTTTTAAATAATCTTCAGCCAATAACTGATATTATCAAATATCACAATCATTCAAATAAGTGTAAATATTATGCAAATTATTGTTCTTTCTTTCTTGTTCACATTCCACATGAATTTCTTTTATTGCTTTGCCTTTATTTTACCATTTTTGTACAATAACTAATCTATGGTTAGTTAGATTAATTAATTTAAACAACACTTAATTATGAAATGTACAAACAGAACACCACCAGCTAATTAACTACATACATACATACTTGAAAAGATTTTAAGGAACATTCAGTCAGGTAAAGATGTAAATTAAACAAACAAAAAAAAGAAAAAGAAAATAAGATCTACTCTCCAGTAGAGAGTAAAACAAATGAGTTTATCTAGAAAAAGGGTGCCACTGTAAAAAAAAAATCAACCAAACAAACATGGAAAACCACTAGATTTTTAGAAGTCTTATCATTAGATTAGATTTTAAATGTATTATCATTATAAATTATGAGGCAATAATAGAAGCTAGCCCAATTGGTAGTAATATGGTTATTGTATTACCACCAGGGAAATGCTACAGGGCAGTGGTCACCAACCCTGGTCCTGGATAACTACCTTCTTGTGTGGTCTGGTTCCAACCCCAATCTACCACACCTACAACAGCTAATTAACTTCTGAGTGGCTGGACCAGATGCTTTAGCATTAGGTAAGTGGGGTACAGCACATTAGAGGCAGGCTGCAACTAAGCTCTGCAGGAGAGTAGATCTCCAGGAGGAGGGCTGGTGATTATTGCTATAGGGTAATGCTCTGTCGTTGTATTTTTGTGCAAGTGTACATTATTGTCCAAGCTTAATCAAAAGCTCCCTCACAGAAAGGTATTACATGAAATGGTTATGAATATCATTGCTGTCAAAAACAAGCATCTCTATTTTATGGACCAACGGAAAGGCTCCAAAATTGCTTGTAATGAAACCTCTTTACATAAACCTGTATTAAAAGTAAAAATGCCTTTGCATTCTTCTGTAAAGCTGCCATTTTGGAGAAACGTTTTTTGGACAGTGACAATATGCTGTCTAATGCCTGTCTAAACACTGTTTTACAATAGTCTGGTAATGCTTTTGGCCTAAACTGTATTTTTTAAAAATGGTATCCAAAGGAAATAGTGATTGTTTCAGTAAATATTTCATCAGGAGGTCCTTAGAAAAGCAGTATATATAAACTAGCAAAAATAAAATGAAAAAACATAGATACATTGATATAAACATGGTGATTCAACTGTTTCCATTTTGGAATGTTATGATCAATTGTGACACCATATATGACAAGCTAAGATTATTGTTTTTATTGAGTACATTCAATTGTGTAATTTCATGATACAATCAATCATTTCCTAAAGAATCGTTATCTAACTGTATTGTTGTGAAGTGAGAGATGTACACTCCTATGATGTCTATATTTTCAATCTGGACTAATGCCATACCTCATGTGCATAGGTCTCTGCTTTTTGCCTCAGGTTCTGCTCCAGATCCAGCTGCTCCTTTAGCCCCTCGTATTCATGAGCAGCCATCATGGACACTGAACAGAGACACATGGTCTTATTGAGACACTCAGTCTTCAGGAGATGACAGCCACACATGCTGAGTGGGGGGTTTTACTTTTAGGCAAAACACCTGGTATGTGAGAGCTGTACTGTTTCCAGCAAAACCAGTGCAGTCAAGGAGTCAAAGGGGGAGGGAGTCAAACAGAGAGCAAATTAAAGTACATTTCCCCAGGCACAGCTGAGGGAATTCCTGGTCCGTGTCCTACTGTTAATTTCATCAGGGCGTTTTAATGGTGACCAGGAGTGAGTGGGTCGAGAGGAAATGATTCTCTTCCCAGGCAGATGCCAGATGTATAGCAACTCAGCCAGAATGATGTCATACTGAGACAAAGGCATGAACGTGACTCCACAGAAGAAAAATATGGCCCACGTAACTGACGGTACTTCATCAAACTTCAGCAGAACATGTCAGAGATTATCGGTAGTCAATGCATTTCAGAACCAAATGGAAGCACAAGCACACGTACCTCTGTTGAATCTCTTGATGGTCTTGGTATGTTGCTCAATGGTATTGTGAAGCTCCTTCATCTCTGCTTGCTCTTTTTCAGTCTATGAGACAGTATAGGAGTTAAAAAAAACACTAACTAAAACGTAAGAACAGGCTTGGGTCAAATTAAACATTAAAAACATTTAAAAAAAAAAAAAAAGAGTCTGCTCACTCTCCCATAACACTTGAGGATATACACTGAAGGATATTTAAGTTTTTTTTACATACTTATTCATTATTGAAAAGGTTCATATATGTAGTGCATACCCAAGCCCCACAGCTATGCTAAGCATGAGTGAGCTCATTCTCCTTCTGTGACAAAAGCACAATCGGTACGCCACTTACAAGTGCTGTCAGTTCCTCGATCTGCCTCTGCTGCTCCTGTAACTGACAGGCGAACTGCTTTTTTTCCTCCAGCAAAGTGTTCACTGTTTCCTGAAGATCTATGAAAAAAACAGTAGTGCTTTATATATAAAGCAATGAATGTCAGTATGTCCTCAAGCCTTTTATGTGCAATATGCAGATCCTTTGCAACACACAGGTCTTTCAGCACCAGCTTACTGATGCAAAGAAATGATGGTTAATAAAAAGATCACAAATTGTAGCCATGTAACAATATTCAGCTGATAAGACACTAATATTGTTTTGAAGTAGGGGAGAGCAATGTGACAATATTATATCGTATTGTGATAAGTTACTTCACAATACACCACAGTATGCTTCATGTTTCATGACAAAGACAGCATAATTAGGCCTGTTTAACTGCTTTTAGTGCAGCACAGTATGTAAAAAAGAAAAAATTATTGTACTCAATTTATTATTTTAGATGTGGTACTGCTGGGCTGTCCTGTCTATTTCAACTAATCAAACTTCAGAAAAATGAAATATTGTACATATCACAAGTATTGGGATATTATATTTTTGACATACTGCCCAGAACTACTGTGATGTATAACTGCATGCAATATGTGGAATATCCTGGATATTGTGCTTGGATGACAGATCCCTCTTCTAATGTAATGTGCCATGCTTACGTTTTCAAGCATTAAACCAGCCAGAGAGACTGTGCAGTGTACCTTTGACCTGCTGTTGGTACTGGGCGTAGGGGTCTGGGCTGTGATCCTGCGGCTCGGCCTCCTCCTCCAGTGAGATGCAGTCAGAGATACTGGGCAGCAGCTCGTCCAGACACGGCCGAGACGACAGGCTCAGATACTTCAGCTTCCTGTTCTCACAGTTCAGCTGAGGGTGTGCAAAATAACATTACACAGTCAACTATTCCAGAAACCAAACTCACAACATCTGCTGCATGGCAACTCTAATTCAGTTTTCAAGTGGAACCAGAGCACAATATGCTGTTTTATTTTGTTATTAGGTTAGAGTGAATTCTTGGTGTATGGACAGTTTGTCATATCTGCGGAGATTACAACAGAAACTTTTATGATTTTTTGTGAGAAACATGTTTGTATGCTCAGTGCAGAGTAAACTCTGGGTGCTTTACCTTGGTAGCCAGTGCCTCAGCATTCTCCCGACATGACTTCTCAATCTCCAGCTGCGTCTGCAGCACGCTCACCTCCTCAATCACCATTTGGGAAACTAGACAAAACCAAAGGGCAGTTTTAATAAGTGGTTGTGCCACAACTGCTGCATTAGACAGCTCAATTTTGTCTTCTGTCTTGTTTGCCTGTAGGAATACATCTTTAAATGAAGGGACAAAAAGGATAAAGACACATGCTGTGGTGTATCCACAGCACTCCTACATCCACATGCTTACTATACATCAGTCTGCACAGAAAATATTCAGAAGTGTTTCTCATTTTTTAAGTTAGGAAAAGACAGGCATGAAAAATGAATTGTGTATGAGGTACGTTTATTGAGATATGCCACTCATTTGAAGTGAAGAAGAAACAAGAATATTTGAAGATAAGTAGATTGAAAAGAAAGACTATCCTATTTTTTCACTGCTACGTAAGCAGAAACCACTAACAAGGTTATCTGTTACATGTTCACAATAGCTGGCCTCTCAACAATTTTGACAGCACTAATACTGTTGCTGTCACTAAATCCCACTATAGTAACTCTACACCCCATGGAGACCTCACAACGGGGGATCAGATGTCATAGCAAAGTCAAGCCAGTTCATGTACAAGTGTTCCACTCTTGCTCCAGTCTAACACACTGCTCTGAGGTTAACATTCACACATCTAAATTGTGCTTTTACCCTCACAGTACATGGAGTAAGAGTAATCACTTAGAATTTGAATTAATTGAAAAATTACCTAATGATTTACTTTTAAATTTGATTTAAATTCTGTATTGACAAGTTCAAGATTGCATATTTTGCATTTGTTTACACATCAATCAATGAAAAAAATGGCAAAAATGTAGCCGATGTTTTTTCATCCTGCAAAACAAGATTGCAAGCACAACAACATATTTCATCAAATTCAAATCATAATAAACATCCCTTCTTCTACTTACAAACACAATGTCATATGATCTGAAAATTAAGAATCCACACTTCAAATATCTCTGCTTGTTTCAATGAGCTACGAATGAGAAATAATTAAATATCAAATTGTATTATACTTTACTGAGCATATCCTGGATATTGACTGACTGCATGTTTCATTACAAAGACAGTGTAATTGGTCCTGTTTAACTGGTTTAAATGCAGCACAATATGTGGAATGTCAAATAAAAAATATTCACGCTCATAGTTTTTGACAGTATCTTTGATGTGTGGCACCACTGGTTCTTTTTTGCCTTTTCCAACTTACCAGATACGGAGTAAATTTGAAAATTTCTTTAAGAATCATGCTATTATGTTTTTGCCATTTTGCCCACCCCAATGCAATGTTTTTGGTGGCTGAGGGGGCAAGCAACTCCATAATAATGTCCATGGTTTTGGAATGAGATGCCCAACAAGCTCACATAGGTGTAATGGTCAGGTGTCCACATACTTTTGGTCATATAGCGTATATTTCAAATATAGCTTTTAAGAATGTATTTTATAACATTTCTGTATTTTGTTACTAAAATATCAAGAATTTAATAAGTTGTATATAGGAATAAAATATATTGGTTCTCTCATTGGGTGAGGGGATGGGGTGAGTTTCTGGTGGGTCAAATCAAACCCCAAGCCCACACGCCACACTTTGGGCAGCCCTGCTCTAAAGGTTAAGGAAACAGCAGAACACCTTAGCACTGTGCAGGTATGGGTCATAAACATAAAGTGGAAACCACTGGCTTAGCCTTATCTCCATATAAATACTGCCCCAGAAGGATGAGGACGTGTTACAGTGTATAAGTGGGTGATGGCAGTTGCTGCTCTGGTCAGTGAGTTGATTCTCTGGTCAGTGAGTGATTCTGGCTCCACTTTCCATGAGAGTGAATGAAGATGAAAGGAGCTCTAAGTCATCAGTTTCTTCACAATGCAGCTGCTGAATAATGCATGATGGATGCTCTTCTCAGCATGGTAGATTGGAATACATCAGCCTGCTCGGAGGCCCGGCTGCTGAATACATCTCATTTTATTTCTTCAACAAGCATTTTTCACACTTCTTTTGATACGGCAAATTTGCACATCATGAGAGCATAAAACAGAGCTCTGTTTTAAACACTTGTAAAGACAGAAACAGATGAAGATTTAGAAAAGCCTTCAACAATCATGAATTCCTGCATAAAGTGAAACATAAGCAAGTGTTTATAACATATTGCTAGAGATGTTAAAACAAGCAGTTGCCTCTAACAAAAAGCTCTGCAGAAGTTCCAGCCTCCAGGCTGTGAAAAGTATAAAGTGAGCTCTATATATTTAAAACATGATTTCAATTTAAATATATGCAAAAAGTGGCAACTACTCTACTGCTCATGCCCCAGTGCAGCAGAAGCACTTAGAAAGATGTGCTCCTGTAACTTCATTATTTCCTATGATATATGCAGAGTGGACAGCTGCACTGCACCACAGTCTGGCTATGCTGCTCATGTGAGAGGATTTCAGCAGACAGAGGAAAATGCCCAATGTCTAGAGAAGCTGGGTGGAAACTGAAGCTCAATTCATCATCGTTGGTCATTTTTCACTCTTCCCTTGCAAACAGAATATTTACAAAACAATAACCTCTGTTAGTTCTGAAGAGATACTACTTGAAATCTGAGAACAAACATCCAGAAAGCCATTAGTAAAGTAAGTAGCAATCTCGAAGGAAAATGCATTTCCTACAAGGCATCTGGTTCCGTCCATCTGCATGTTTGCTGTCATCTGTCAAGAATGTAGATAAACACAACTGGACAGTCTGAGGGGATAGCCTTGATTCAGCTGTCCCCCTCAGCAACCACTATTACTGTGCATTAGCATGAAACATAAAATATATGCTAGTGATGGCATGATACCACTTTTTCTTTTCTGATAACTTGATGCCATCAACCGATACTGATAATGATCTGATATTTTTCTATAAAAATGCTTTATTTATTTTTCTTTTTCTTTACTGTGACATATTTGACTATAGGTGACATAACAGTAATTTTCACATAAGATAGGTGCTATCTTCAGCATGATAAATCTAAATATTTCAACTCCACTTTAAAAGAAATCAAGAAGATATTTTCAAAAACAACACTAAAGAACTAGAAAAAATGTATTTTCTTATATTTTTTCTTGTTTTCACAAGTTTAAATTTAGGGGTTAGGGTTTGGGACAGCCACCTGTAGACGGTGACTAGAAAGTACCCTATAAATGATGATTTTGTATATATTTAGCTTTTTACTATCACAATGCTAAGGGTTTAAATAGATCACAACGTAGTCCTTGTACATATCTAACTTAATAAATACTGAACACTTTTTTTTTTTTCAACTGTCTTTTTTTTGCTGTAGGACAGTAGTTTTAAGTAGTTGGTATTTGGTAGTGTGGTCTATATAGGCAAATAAATGTCCATACAAGCATTAAAGACGGACAACTGTTTCTGTAGACTTTCTTTCTGTAGTATTATTTTGAAAGCTTGGAAGTAAGGAGTATATAGACCATTGTTTAAGCCATTTCACCTGAAGCCCTCTGAAGCGCCCCATTTCGCCTGATGTATGAATTTCCTTAAATGTGCCTGCTGCATCGAGGGACAGAGTTTCTAGAACAGTCGCATATATGTTAGATACTATACGTGATGTATGCTTTGCACGAAATACATCAATAACAGAATTACATTCTTTGAACCAGAGGTTAATGAGTTTTTATCATCACTGAGGCATGTTGCCATGATAACTCAGGAGCCGTTATTAAAGCAATCCATTTAACCTAAGCAAGCTGGACTATGGCTCAAACTCTGCGGAATGAGTAAGATGAGTCAGAGTGATGCACCTGCTGGCACACAAAGATCCAGCTGAACCGTTATTTCACCCACTGAAAGGGGTGGGGCTCTGTGCCCTAACAAAGCCTCCCTGGACATTGGTCCCGCTCATTTAGCTCCCTAATGACTGACCGGCAGAGCTCAGCTCCAGGCCTAGCTACCGAGAGGAGATTCTAGGTCAGCAAATGCTTTGTGCTGCATGTGCAAAATATGGCTTTAGAAAACCAGCAGAACTGAGACAAAAACAGGGGGTCACGGCCCACCAGTACTCTTTCAGGCACACTGCTTCACACAGGCACTTGACACAGTATTCTGTCACTGGTGCTGTGTTGAGCTAGTATGAGCTGAGAGTACCATCCAGCCCCCTTTTCGATTACAGCGATTAGGTTGTGCTGATAAATTAGAACAGTCTCTTGTTAATCACTGTGCAATTCTGTTTGCACTTGGAGTCATAATTGCACTCCACGCTAACACCCTTTAATCCATTCTAAGCCATCTCTCATCTCCAATCACAAAAGCTTACACTCACTAAAATGCACAAAATAGTCATAATATTATAACACTTTCTATTTTTCATTTTTATTAAACTAAGATAAAAGATGAAAATGTAGTGGAAAAATGTTTTTTACTAGATAAATGATTGAAGAACTAAAACTAAGGCTCACTGAGGCATCCCAAGGAAGGAGGTGGGAAGCAGCTGTTTTGCCAGACGCAGATCAAGTGCCTCCCAGATACTCGGCAGCAGTTTCCCTGCAGCAGCCAATCATCAAATAGCACTCCAACCAATCATGTGCAACCAGCACAGGACAATTGTCCTGTACGTCTGCAACTGGGACAAACCACACTGACATTTGCAGAGTCATGTAAGGCACTGCAGAGAACTATGCCAACTGTGAGTGGCCCAATGAACTGACCTACTGTATATGGTTTTCAGAGAGATAAAAGTTGTGTAAAATATAGTGAAAAACATTTTTTCATATAAGCAAAGAGGCTAATGGGTAATGACTAATATTCATTATTAACATTAACCTCACAGCGTTATGGAATATATGGAATGCTAAAGTAGCAACCATAGATAAAAGACAACTGGAATGACAATAACCTCCATTCATTTTCAACTAGTGAATAATTAATAATTGGAGATTTAAATAATTCAAAGAAAAAGCATGGCATATATGAGTACAGTATCCGTAGCATAGTCTATTAATCCTCCCCTGGGGGATGATGACAATTCCAGGAGGAAGCTTTGATTGTTTCAGATAGAGTCTGGGGCTTCACATGACTGAGACCTGAGATCTATTAAGCCATACAACACATCCTGATGAGCCAACATATAGTCGTATGCAAAAGCTTGTATTCCACTGGTCAAATGACATGTTTTGTTGATTTTCTACGCGAAAATAAGTTAATACATCCTCCATAAATATGGCAATTCTCTGCTATTTTTAGTGCATAATTTCTATTTTTTTTTGAGTTTAACATATTAGAAAAAATATTAAACACACAAGATAAAATATGCCATAAGTTTTGCACAGGCCACATTTTGTGTTTTAATTTTTTACAATGTGAGAAATTCAGCAAGTAAACAGTAATAGTGCATTAAAATGTGTGCTCCCTGTAGCGAATGTGGTATTTTAACTCAGAAAATCAACCAATCATGTCATTTGACCAGGGTCACCCACTTTTGCATACGACTGTGCTATATACAGTGAGTTAAACAAATATTCTATAAAGAAACAGCCCAAGACAAAAAGAAGTTTACAACTTAAATTGCATGCTTAAAATAGCATTCAAACAATACTTAAATATATACACAATACCTAAGCTCTTTACAGTGGTATGTACAGCTCAACCAGTTTATAGCTTTTTGGTCTTTATAACTCAATCAACATTAAAAGCAGTTAACGTTTATGGCTGCTTTTCAGATGTACAGACTTAAAATCCACAATTGGTTTGTTCAAACAGAAAACAACAGTATGACAACACTGAGGAATAGGGATCTAAACATCAGATTCAACCTCATTATGGCAAAGATAAAAGATTATGGAGCACCACTGCTTGTCAAAACTCAAATATCTATAAAAAACTAAGAACAATTCCTGCTTACAGAGGCTACAGACATTCTAATGTAATGTCTCATGTAATCACACATCTAAGCTGCATCTAAGTAAGTGTAAAAATAGCTTCACCTATTAGAACAGTACAAGCCAGAAAAGTATGACAAAAAATCAGCAAGAGAAAATCCTACATTTAAGAATAAGAATCATAAATGTATCACCTGAGTGCAGAGCCTGTTCCAACCAATGATTCTCAGAGTGCACTATGAGCATTAGCAAGGCAGTTTGTAGAGGCGCCTATACTTCCTTACACTGGCACTAAGCAGAACTAAGAAACAACGCCAAAACAAAAATCCACTGGCTCCTAGTAGTCATGGGGACTGGGATAACATTTTACACCTGGGAATAAAGGCTCATTTAGAAGACAGCTTGGAGGCAGAGAGATAATGAGATGGGTTAGGGAGGAGGTGACACCAAACAAGGCACGAAGTGTCAGATTAGAGGGACAAATCTAATGAGGTGATCATCTTCTATGGCTACCTTAAGGAAAGGTATGGATGCTGACAATGCCCTGAGTGGTATGGTGTCTGAATATTTGCTGGAAATTTAAAGAGGCACTTGTGTATGATACTGAAAGTTTTAAAAGATGCTGGGCAATAAATTTGCTGTTAAATCTACTCCAACAAAGATGGTTCCTTTACACAGATGCTCTGGTTCATCTGGGACAATGCATATTCCTTACTCATAAATGTGAAACAGAGCACATGTGGGACATTATCAAGGACAAAACACAGGAGCTTACTTCCTATTACAATTAAGATTTTCTTTGATTACTTAGTCACATCACTAAGCACTGGGCCACCCTAATTTAAAATGCCCAAATCATGAAAAACACCCTTTGAAATAAAAGAGTTTAATGTTTGATGTATGTAAGTTTTAAAACATACCATTCACTCCTCAGTCCATACTTGGAAATGAAGCTGAAAAAACAGCCCAGTTCAAATTTGCTGTTTTTGTGATGACATATAAACCAACAGTTTTACACATATCCATCTATTAAGCCCCATATGTCAAACACAAGGCCTGTGGGAGGGATAGGATTTCGTTGTGGGCCTGATCTGGCCCGCAGGCCTTGTGTTAGACATATGGGGCTTAACAGAAGTATTTTAATTTTCTATTAATATAAGCCTGTTTCACAAAACCCTGCACTACAATACCCAGAATGCACTGCAAGGACATGTGCACACCCACTCCCACCCCGAACAGCAACCTATGGGGGTTATGCCTCAATTCAACAACACTAGTCATATCACTAAACAAACTAGCTGAGTTTCAGCTGCTGTTCAACCAGTATAAACACTAAGCAGCTCAGAAATTGATCAGAAGAATGAAAGAGCTTGCAGCAAAGAAAAGATGCGTGAAGTGTCTAGTTTTAAAAGATCTACCTCCTGGGGACATCTTTATTTAATTTATTTTTATAAGTATTCATGTAATATTTCATGGTCTACCACAACTGCCTATTTTGTGTTGACATTTTGCCATATTTTGAATAAACAATGACCAGTTCACGATACAGCAAAATGGTATTTAAAAATGAAATAAAAACATAGGTGTTCTCTGGGCCATGAATTTGTTGAGATTTTTTAATATGACCCTTTTAGTGGTTGAGTTTGACACCCCTGTATTAAGCCTACAGCAGTGTTGAGCCCATTCATGTTTAAGTTATAAGGAGTACTTCAATCTGGACTTCTTTTTGGATGGAGCATAACACCAGGCAGCCAGTCAGTGACAATTTACATATCGCCTTAAAGGCACAGGAACAAAAACAGCATATTTAATTCTAAAGAATTCAGAGAGTGGAAAATTGTCATGTAAAAATGAATTACATCTGTTTTTGGTACATAAACTCACATCAACATCATAAGTGGGTTTAATGGAGGAAAACAACATGCAAGAAAACTACAGGATATGGGCCCTCTAACACTGAAAACCAGTGCCAATTCTGACTCCTGGACAACTTTCAAATGTTCAAACTTTTAGTTTTGCAATATTAAATCACTGACTCATATGAAATGGCTAATAGATAAACTTACCTCTTTTAATGTGCTTCAGCTGCCTTTCAGCCTCATCTCTCTCTTCAGTAAGCCTCATGCACTGAGGAATTAAAAAAAAAAGGTGCTGAAAGGATATTTCTGTGTGCTGAGATGCTAAGATGTGCAGTCATTTCCAGGCACAAATGGACCGAGATGTCAGTTCACCGAGGCAGTTTCCAAATGTTCAACTAAAGCAGCCGTTTTAGACTGACATTTTGTGCAGCAGGGAGATTCTCTAAAATAACTGAACAATAGAGATCTAAAATAGGTCGAATATTCACTATTTTTACGTCTTTCGTCATTGTAGCCTAGAGTTATTCATATGTTCACAAGCAAAAACGTAATTAAATGGATACTTTCTAATGAAGAGATGCACGCATGTACACATGTCTATGATGTATTCAAGTTCACCAGGCCGCCTTTGCCTCTGAGGGAAAAAAGGACTGAAAAGAGCCACATTTAGCCAAGTGTACTTTCAGAAAAGACCGTTTTACAGATATCGAGGATGCGTGTTAGCTTTGTGTTACTGTGGAGCCCACTGTAATAGAGAAATGCAGTCTGCATCTGTGCAGTGAATCAAATGATGCACAAAAAACTGCTCAGCTGCAGAAGGGTGTCACCGTGCCCTCACTAAATCAAAATGCCGGTTAGCTCACTCAGCGAGGGGCATGTAGCCTTAAAGAAACTCGACATAATGCTAACAAAGGGGCTCCGGTGTGTAACAGCCTATGCAGTATATTTCAAATGAACTAAAGTGCAGTTTATAGATCCCAGCCTAAGCATCCTTTACCTCATTTTTCACTCTGTGAGCCTCTCCCTCCTCGTCTCCACTGGCCTCCATGACCACTGAAAAAAGATGAACAAGGTAACGGAACGCACAATAGAGTCGGTCTGCTACGAGTGCAGCATGCGCTCCTATAAAGAGTAATAAGGTCTATTAAGAGAATTAAAATGTGTGTTAATAAAATTACCGGTAGGCAGCTGACTAGCATCCATAGCCCTTTGGCAGACAGCAGCACCGGTGAGAAAGAGAGACCCTCCTCCCTAACTCCTCACCGTCTGGATTACACGCAACCTCCAGCCGACTCCCATTCTCGCGTTATTTTTTTTCCCACCCTTACTCGGAGAAGCCCCGCCCGCTGTGCAGAGATTGGCTTATAGTACACGCTCACCTCTACATGGCTCTGACGCTCGGTCAGACCTGCTCCGCTAGGATTGGCTATGAACTACTAACCAATAATAACGCAGGAGGTGGGACTTGTCGGAAAACAGGTAGGAAAAATACGCTTCTCCTATGGAGGCCGAAACGGTGATGCTAAGCACTTCTCCACCCCTTCACAGGGCACCTTCCAAAAATAGTAACGTGATTCTCTCTAAATAAAATATTTCTGTTATAATATTATATAACTCTAAAATGATAATTTACATGTAAAATTTAAAAATATGGACTATGTGGTAGTTGCAATCAGGCTGTTGTTTTGGTATAAATAATGGTTATTTTTCAATAAAGGTCACAATCATACTTCAATATCATACTCTAAACACATTTTTTAATATTATTATAAATTACATTATTTACTGATTTTAAACAATCTGCATATTTCAAATGAAATGTGAAAAAAAGTTATTCAGAGTGGTTTGATGTGAAATGATGCATTGTATAGAAACTTACAGACGCCAATATCTTTACAGTGGTCGTGATAGGAACCAGGGGTCACAATGTCTACAATGTAAATATAGCCATTTTATTTACTATTCATAATGACCAGTGAACCTGTCAGATACCTGTCTTCTGAGTTTTAAAATGTAATGTTGATAGTGCTAAAATAGTGGTTAATCTAAACAAAAATAAGTTTTCTAAGGAGACTAGATTGCCTCTCAAAGAATGGAACAAAAAACTGGACTAAAATACATTTTTAGGCCAAAAAATTGATGTAGTTTTTAGAGACAACACATTCTTTGGACGTCTGGCTCCGATCATCACCATTGTGAGCCATTTTGACCCTGCAAGTTTCTGTAGAATGAAAACAAACTGAATTAATTTTACTTCTGAATGATTTAATAATGAAAAAAATGAAAAATCAGTAGAATTCCCTTTCACTCAGATTCTGAATCAAAAGAGGCTTACAAGAAAATGCTGTTTTAGAAAAAATAGTTTGTTTATTAAAAAAACACTTTCATGCTACCAAAATACAAAACACAGTTTGCAGTGCAAAACACATTTATACATTTAAGTCTTCACTCTGAAAAGCATTTAAAGCTAAACATGTCAGACAGTGATCTCAGTTACAGCTGGAAAGTAGAGTAAGTCGTACAGATTCACATAATCTATATATTACTGTATGTTTCTGAGACTGTTGACAATCTAACACCCAAGCAACGTATCAAACAGTTCCCCATCTTCATGTGCATGCTTAGTAAACAGAGGCCCTGAAAGAATGAAAATACAAACAGATAAGTAGATATTCAAACAGAAAAAAAGTAGATTATACTGATGTTCAGAAATGAAACAATTTATAACATTACATAAAAATTAACATAACACATGATTCAGCTTTGCATACATACTGTGCATGCAAACTACTCTAATGTACTTGTTCGAAAAAGGGCTGACCTAGAGGGTTAAACCTTGCAAATAGTATGTTATCTATTATGTATTATCCTGTAGTACAATATTGCAAACTTTTGCCTTCAGTTTCACAGAATTCACAATTTTGTATTGTTTTCATTCGTCCATCAGTCTTCTCTCACTACAATAACCACCATGCATTATGCAAATACATATCACAACCAATGGGAATTCCTGCAGCGCTCAACAAATCCTGACTGCTAGCCGCTGATTTAGAGACTAATAAATACTTTGTGGTGCTGGATGGCATGAAGGCTATAGTGGTTGTTAAACTTTTTTCTTTGTTAAATGAATAATTCAGTTTAATAATTAGCCAGCTAGCGGGAAAAAAGAAGCACAGCCAAAGCCACTCCAAAGCTCTTGTAGTCTTTCAAAATGTACTTCCACCTTAAGATCCATTGTCAGAAGTGGGTTTTCCTAGTTCTGAGCTAGAAAAAAATTTGCTTTAGAGACTACTATGGCACTGCAGCAAGAGGCTAGAATTCATGTTTACAACAGATGTAGCGATGTAACCACATTTTTCATTTTGGCCGGAGTTTCGCTTTAAACTAGGGTAATCATACTTGAAGTTCAGTGTAAATAAAATACAAAAATAAAAAAGCAGTGTTTTCCTGTTATTCAAATTAGGTTCAACACACCAAATAATACAAAGGTTACCTGCAAAAAGAGGAAATTGTCATTAGACCTAGAATCAGCTCCAGGCCATAGAAGCAGAGCACGACTGCATTAAGGATGAATTCCAGGCGCAGGACAAAAGTCTGCAGTAGCAGATAGTAGACACTCAGTACTGTGCAGGGCACCAGAATACAAACACTAATGGACAGAGTCAGGGAGCGCTCACACAGGTTTCCCTTCCAGCCTGCAAAAAGCACAGTCACCCGTTATAACAGAAATCTGACAAAAGTAAATATATATAAATGAATCCCAACATTGTAACAGTTACAACATACCATAAAAGAGTCTGAGGGTTTCAAGACCAACGTAGAGAAGCAGAAGAACAATGTCCAGTATAAGATTTGCCTGAGGGTATGGGAGCAACACTCCTAAAGACAAAATTTTAAACAGTATGTTTTCTATGAAAGTCACATCACTGCACTATTAATAAAACAGAAATGCAGCAGATGACAAATGATCATATGGTACTTTACCTTTATAAACAAACATTAAAATCTCAGCTATGAAGAAGGCAGCAAAATACCAGCTATTCAAATAAAAGAGGACCTGCAGAGGCATGGAGGACAACTGAGATATTTTGTTAAGGAGGCTAATATCATAATAGGTTGTAGTTAAGTACTCAAAATGTTTTATTTTCTTAAGACAGCACTGGAGAAGTGATGCACAAGAATGAAGAGTTGGTATTACGGTGAAAGGATACAATAGGGTGCCTTCCTGCAAAAGAAATATCAGCCTTGTTTACAAACCTACTGCATTTCATCTGATTACTTCAAATGGTACATATTGTGCATAATGATAACTGTCACATGCTAGATACCATAGTGTACACAAATGTGCCAAAGCATTACGACCTACCTAATATGCTGTTGGTCCCCCACGTGCTGCCAAAACAGCTCCAACCGACTAAGGCATGGACTCTACAAGGCCTCTAAAGGTGCTTTGTTTTATCTGGCACCAAGACGTTAGCAGCATATTCTTTAACCCTTCTGTAAGTTGTAAGGTGGAGTCACTACGGATCAGACTTGTTCATAGCACATTTTACAGATCCTTGAACAGATTGAGATGCCAGGACAACACCTTGAACTCTTTGTCGTGTTCCTCAAATCATCCCAAACAATGTGTGCAGTGTAGCAGGGCGCACTGTCCTGCTGAAAGAGGCCAATGCCATTAGGCTTTACCTGACCCACAACGGTGTTTCGATAGGTGGCATGTGTCAAATTGACAACCACATGAATGTGCGGACCTGGGGTTTCCAGCAGAACACTGTACAGAGCATCACATTCCCTCCACCCACTTGACTTCTTCTCACAGTGCATTTTGGTGCCATCACTTCCCCCAGGAAAACAGTGCATCCATTGCTCCAAGATTCAGTTCTGATTCTCACATGCTCATTGTAGGCACTTGTGATGGTGGACAGGTGTTACCATGTGCACTCTAACTGGGTTACCACGATGCACTGTGTGTGACACATCCCTTGGTACTCACAGCTGCTGACTAGGAGGACTCCACAAGCCATTTCTGAGATGCTCTGACCCAGTTGTCTGGCCATAACAATCTGGCCCTTCTCAAAGTTGCTGAGGTCTTCACGCCTACCCAACTTTCCAGCATCAAACACAAGAACTACATATATAATACATATATTCCAGATCTTGACATGCACTGTTGTTACAACATAATTAACACTATTCGCTTCATCTGTGAGTGGTCATAATGTTTTGGCACATCAGTGTATATCACACAGTATGCCATTTTGAACAGAGCTATAGAGTAAGCAGTCAGTCTATGTGGCACATTATATGATACTAATGCAGTTATGTCTTCATTTACTAGTTTTCACACATGCAAAAGATACATTTTAAAAGCACTGATAAAGGGATATTAGCCTTGGTATTACTGGTATGGCAGCGGCAAGAAAATTAGTGGTATCACCCATGCCTACTATGAACACTGATACTGCACCCTTCAATAGAATGTAAAGCTCCACAGCTTGAGTTTGAGCTGCCCTCATAAATAGGGTCACAATGTGGGTCACAATGTCACTTGTTTTACAATGAAAACTATAGATTTGTTCTGAATCTGATCATTTGGACAAGCATTAATAGAGGTGACATAAGACAAGTGCAAAAACTAAAAATGATATAAAGACAACTAAAGCCATATCACCCATATTCAACTTTTATCCCCCCAAAATTATTCAGTTAGAGGCCACCCATGAACCTAAATGAGAAGTAAATAGCTTTCAGCATTCCTGATAGTAGTATTGGTACTAACAACGAAATAATAGACTTTAAAAAAGAACATTTTCATTGATAAAATAATGCTTTTATTGATCTTCACAGAAATGGTGGGCCTGTTACCAACACCTTGTGGACTTCGTGGCTGTTTGGTTTAGACCTGCTTTTACTGATTGGTTCCTACACATTGTTCTGTTTAGAACCATGAGTTCTATATAGAACCATTTCTTGCTTAAATGGTTCTTCAGATTAATGGATAATGTGTTGTATATGGTTCTATATAGAACCTTGCACCAAAAAACGTTCTTCTATTAGTGCAAGCCTGACATCGTTACAATAATAGTAGAACCCTTTTTGGTGCTACACAGAAACATTTTAGAAATGTTCTTTATAGACATCAGGGTTCTAAGTAGACCCACTACCTTTGCTAAAGAACCACTGAAGAACCTTCTTTTTGAAGTGTGTATGCTGACCCGGGGAGCGACGGTGGTAGACTGTATATACACCTACCCCACACTAATGACAGCAATGATGAGAACAACGAAATTTATACGATGCTGCACCGGACTAGAAACGTTTCTCTGCACGTTTGAACTCAAAACACAAGTGAAGTAGGAAAATCGTCACGGATTTAAACTAATTTAAGCCTCTCTGTGAGAAATCTCTCATTGTTCTAGCTTTGTTTATTGACAGACTGGTCACAGGCTCAGGTCGCTGCTGTGTGATCAAACCCTTACATCAGCGTTGTTAGCCATCCTGTTATATCGCATCAAAATAAAACGACGGTATACACACACAAAAGCGCTGCCTTTTTAACGAAATACACATACTGATCTTATTTCTCACTGTAAGAGGATCAGTTTGACTCTAACCAGCAGTATTTTCCTTACCGTGGGCCGCCATATTGGATACCATGGAGACGGCGTCATCTTAAGGCGGGAGCAGGACTGCGGCCCAATCAAAACTAGTTTAACAGGCGCCTGACCGCGGGCCAATCAGAGGAGACCTGCCACTCGGTTGGGCTGACGCTAGAGGGCGCTGCCGAGAGAGTCCAAACCATAAAGGTGCAAAATGAATGGAATGGAATCATATGAAGGTTTTGGGCGAAATACATTACATCATATCAAAATGTAAGTTATTACAAGTTAAAGATACAAACAAATACTACAAATAACACTGCTTTCATTAGAGCTGCTCTAAAAATATCTCACAATACCTTTTTTTTTAACATTTTACATTTTTTGTGCTGTAAATCATTCTGAGAATCTGTATAAGATATTCAGTTTCTACTAAAGAAAACGCTAAATCTGCGTCTATTAAAAAAAAAATCAGTTAAGACTTTCTAACATTACCATATGTACATTCATGAGATCAGTCTGCGTGAACTTAAAAATGAGTGTGAATGCTAGTGTCCTACTGCCTAAAACCTGTTTTTCGGTTTCGTTGATTTTTTATTATAATATCTAATTTCCAGAACTGGACATTGGACACTGTATGAAAGCAAAGATTATTAAAGATGAGACGTTTAACTAGAGCCAGATCAAGGGGAGCTGGCCACTTTGTATTTCACCTGTTACATCAAAAACATGAGTGCAAAATGCCAGAGGGCGCCCGCGAGTGAGTCCTCAACGATTGGGGGTGAATGGAGCTTAAACGGCTAAAACGAAAAGTTAAAACAGTTTCATTTCTTTTTAACAGCAAACAAGTTTTGTGCAGGAAGCCCTATAGCATTACTGCTACTGAGTACTGATTGGTTGGTGAGCACAGCAGCTCATAGGCTGAAGCGTTTTGCGCTTGGCGTAAATGAGGCGCTCCAAAAGCGCTCCAAAATATAGCCGCGGGGTTAAAATGTTTTATGCTGTTCTGTGTTCAGGAAATGAATGAATTATTCTATATAAAATGTTTAAACATTTACAAACTATGATTTTGCTCAAATGCTCCATTCATTTTGGACTCTGACACACCCTGAAGACGTCACTGAGTGGGAGTTCTCCCAGAGTCGGTTTATGAGGAGCCTGGCCACTTCCTCTTTCCCCCCTTATATCAAAAACATGACCACAAAACACCAGAGGAGAGAAGAGTGCCCTCTGGTGAGTCCTCAATGAATGGGGGTCTCAACAACTAAAAACACATAAACACAAAACAGTTTCTAATCACTTGCCCTGAACTTTCCTTTAATTTGAGGAAAAAAACAAAGAAAATTGACCTTTTTATTCTTTTTTTCTACAGCAAATGGGTTTTAGGCAGCAGGATGCTAGCATTACTGCTAGTGAGTGCTGATTGGTTGGCGAGCGGAGTAGCTCATTGGCTGTTCGCGCTCACAGACGTCATGAACGTATGACGTCATGAGGCTCCTATAACTCGAGTTTAATAGCTCTTAAAATTATAACAGCAGTGTTAAAATGTTTTATGATATTCAGTGTTCAGGAAGTGGTTGCATTCTTTTACATTAAAAATGTTTAAGCATTTATAAACTATGATTTTGCTCAAACGCTACATCTTAACCCATTCATTTTGGACTCGCTCGGGAGCGCCCTCTAGCGTTTGAGAAACCCGGAAGACATTACTGGGTGGTAATTCTCCTCTCTACAAGTTCTCTGGTTCTCCTGACTGCACATTAACTTCATATACCCTATTCACTGAAGACGCATTTGTTGGCCCCCTCTAGCATTTGGCAGTCATGTATTTGGTGCCAGGCCCCACTTAAACTATATCTGGTCTAATCAGAAAGGCGGTCTGGGCTTATAGCTTCAGCGTAAATGCTGTAGGCTGAAAAGGTGGTTATACGTAAATTGTAACAGCACAAAAAAGTGAATTCAAAACGGGCTATCTTCCATAAATGGTCTATATGGACTGATTATGTTTTAAAAAGTATTTACATACTGCATCGAACTCCATGATATAGACTCATTAACATACAACTGAATAGGGTGCACCCACAACAATTCTCCCAAAAGGAAAATGGAGAAATAAAGCATCTCTCAATATAATATTAATGAAGGATTTATTGTTTCTTTAAGCAAAAGGAGGATATTAAAAATGAGCATTTCGCTGTAAGAAGTTCTGGTGATGAACGAGAAAAGCATGAGTTCTTCTACCATGACAGACTGCCGAAAGATTCCTGTGGTACAGAAAAGAGCTATACAGGAAAATGATGAGATCTCACACTTTTTGTATGTAAATATTATTTCTGTTGACTTTTTCTGGAGTGAGATGAGCCAAATCAGTTTACATATTCAAGTGCCAGTGGACAGAAATGTGTTCATTAACATAGAACAGATGGATTTGACTGAATGTTTACCTAAATGTTTACAGTATGTGCACAACAGATTCTTACTTTGCTTCTGCTGATAATCCTAGTTTTACTGCGGCTCTGATCATACCTGATTCTGAGTTTCAGACACTCTTGAAGCCTCTATGAATTGAACCAGCTGTGTTAAATTAGTAGTTTGTAAATCATTTTAAACTGGTCAACTGTAAGAAACCGTTTCAACAAAACATGTGAGGGTTTTTTCCCCAATATAATAAAATCAGAATGAAAGCACATTGCTGCAAACCAAAGGAATATTTTGGGGAAAAATACTAGATGCCAAATAAATGTTGCACTGTGTCAGTTTGATGACATAATTGACAAAAAACATTTTTCAAACTATAAAATCATTGATGGCTTGAATACTTTTGGTTTATATGTGTACATGACCATATACATTTCTACAGTATTGTACAACAAAATATGTAAACAGGACAGTATGTATGTCACTGTCACTTTATTTTGTTATTTAAACAACACATCAACAATATTTTTTGAGCTTAACTCAGCTGACAGGTCTCCAAAATACACCAAGCAAAAATTTCTATTAATTCTTTCAAAAATAAAAAAAAATAAAAGAACAAAATCTCACAGAGGAATTATAAGAAAGTACATAACAGAAGGCTGACACTGGAGAAACAGGGGAAGGTCCATTTTTCCTGCACTACTCAGGAAAACAGGGGAGGTGACTTCCTTTTGCAAAGTAGTGTAAAACCACATCAAGGAGCAAAAGCTGCCTTCAGTGTATACAGTGCTTACGTACACATTACATTTATTTCCACTGAGCAATGTAACCTTCATGCTGAGGCACTCTTCTTCTTCTTGTGCTCCTATGAAAGAGCAACAAAGAACATTTAGGACCAGATCTGCAGGACAGAAAGAGCAAACTGTTGGAGAACCATAAGCTGGATATTTACCTTCAGTTTCTCGTGGTGTGAGGGGCTCCTACAGTGCTCATCTTTTGCCTCCTCTTCACTGGCATAGATAACATTGCACAGGTTACAGAAGTAGCCCACTACAGGACGGACAAACTCTGTGCCTGTGAACAAAACATCAAAGTTGAGTCCTATTTAGTAATATTCATGACAAGCCTTGCTGTGTAACAGCAAAACCCAAAAAATCAAACTCAGATATTCATAAAAGAAAGCTGGCATTAGGTAAAAGAATTCTGCACTGGGTTCTTACCCACTGGCTCATTTGGTTTTTCAGACTCAGTCAAAGTGTCAGCTCCAGCAACACTCTGGTTATCATCGGTGGACTCCTGAAACGTGCAATATTTTAACATTAGTGTCCTTTAACAATGTTTGTCCATTCTGCTGCAGTTTCAGCACAATTGCACATCAGAAATAAACTTTAGGGTTTAGTTTATCGGGCTTTACCCTTTGTAATTTATGATAGCTATTGTGCAGTTATATGAAGAGTCAGACAGCTAAAAAAGAAAAAAAAAACAACTAATCACTGGCTACTTGAGTACCAAAAAAACAATCAGTGCTGCTTTTTGTTACAAACTTTTCTCATTATACTGTTGTTACGTCTGAGCACGTATTTTGCTTTCTTGTGTGTTTGCGTGTGTCTCTCTCTCTCCTGGCCTCTAAATTCACAGGTGAACCTGCTTTGCCATCAGTCATGTCAGGAGGATCTCTGACTAATCAGAGGCCTGGCTGGTGTAGTTGAGGGGGAGGAACCTAGACCTTAAAGAAGGCCTTCAAGGTGGCTGAAGAGCAAAAGGACTGATATTCTGTGCTCTGGTTTTGTTTTTGATTTCTTGGGTTGGGTGTTTGCGCTTTTGTTTTAGGTATTTTTCCAACATTTCTTTTAACTTAGTTTATAAGAGTTGGTCTCGTGTTAAGGGAAGCACTTTAATTTTGGTATTTTAACTGTACACTTCTAACTCCGTTTTACAAGAGCTGCTTGATTATTTGTACCACCTGAGGTTTCAAACAGGTGAGAGGGACGTGCCTATACATTATCACCACTACTCTGTCTAGTTCCCTTGGTCAGAGGGCAGGCACTGCCACATGTACTTCTGATTACTGGCCAGGAAAGTGCACAGTAGTTACCTTTTGTTTCCTTTGTAGTTTAGCTAAGTACTTTTTGTTACAGAGTAGTCTAGCATGATTAGGTTTTGTTTTGTTCTTTTCTTTGGTGATGTCCACAGTTTGATTCTTCCAGTGTTGTACTAGATATCACAGCACAGTGTTTTACTGTGGTTTATTTTAATAAACTAGCTTTAAAAGTTCTATTGGTCCGTTCATCAAGCTCAGTTCAATGTTTTAATGCCACATTACTGATCCCACAGCGTCCTAGACAAAATGTGGGCATGTAACACCATCAAACCAGGTAATGATGTGAAAATCCTCAATTTTAACACTATACAGTCAATTAGTGTGCACTGAAAATTCAGTTGATCCTGCTAACCAACCTCCATCATGCTTTGATCAGTTGACCCTGTGAGTTTCTTATTGTGATCACTGCATGAGTTGAAAGCTTTTGAATACAGTGTTTTCTGAATTTCCTATTAAAGAATAAACCTGTATCTGCTTGTTATGGAAGCTGACAACATGCTTGACAGAGCATTACATCCTTCTCAAAACAATACTTCAATCTGCCCACAATAAGGCCATATACTAATAACCCAGCCATCATGGCAGGCTACAAAGAAATGTCCTATAGTTCTACAAGGGCATTGACATGTTAACTATCAAGGTAATTATGTTAGCGTTCCAACAGAATTTGATCTGATGAAGTCAGTCACGTGTCTGACCAAGCAGGCTCTGGATCTTGCATAATATGGTGAAAAACCAAGTTTCTCCAAGGCTAGTGGCCACAGGCTCTGCATTTTTATTGGCCAAAATGTAAAACGTGGCCAGGGGCATTACACAATAAGTGATATCAACCACTGTTCATATGTATTCTAATAATCAAATAAATGAATAACTGAACAGTGAAAGTATGTCAAAATGCCAGTAAGCTGTGATGTCACAGCACTTCTGTTTGTGTTTCTGATTGTCATTAGGTTAAATGTACCCCACTTACAATTTATGGCATTGTTGATCATGTAGGCAACAATAAAAATCTATCTGCCTAAACTGGCTGAAAAAGTACATAAAGTTTATTTCCTACAAATTTAACATTTGTACCATAAATTACTTCAGATATCCATCAGCTAGATGACAAATATTATTAGATACTTAGGTTTCCCATTTACCCCAAATGCTTGACTAACAAACACACATTCATACTCACCTTAGAGTTTGCTCTTTTAGTATTTTCCTCATCGTCAGAATCAGAATCGGGGTTGAATCTACACAGCAACAGGAGGGCTCAAAGTTACTCTCAGCTTTATACATTTTTTTCGAGGTATTTGTATTCTAACAGCAAACATATAACATTGGTGTTACTGGTCATTTCTGAATAAAATACTGGCATTAAGTTCTGATACCAAGATTTAAAAATCTCTGAGGAAAACTGCTTGGTCTTCCTTTCACTGTTTTATTGAATGAATCCACTTTAAAAGAATTACCCTGCTGTTGGTAAACTGCTGTATTTCTCAGAGACTTTAATCTTCAAGACGTTACCACGCAATGCAACATCTTGATTTTTTGAATCAGCAGCAATTCTCTCAGCATCAGAGGCATGCACCATCTCAACAAAGCCCTTTAAAAAAGCAAAGTTAATTTAACAACCAATTCTCTTACTTGAAAACAGAAGAAAGGAATGCATGCAAAACTGATTACTAAAACATTTAAACTTTTCAACCAAGCAAATTACTGATATATGACAGGAGGAGAAGAGCATAGTGGTAGAGAGAGACAGAGAAAGAGTCTTAAATTTGCTTGGTATGGTAAATGAATACATAATACACTATGGTGCACATACACCCAATATTTTCACAAATCACTAGTTAAAGAGAAGTTAGGACAACACATGTCGTACAAACTTTTTTTAGCATATATAAAAGTTTGGGCACCTTGTAAGTCATTATTTATCAATGCATTCAGAAAATATAACTTTCCAGGCCTTTCCTAAAGCCATGCAAACTTGTACCATTCAGTCTCTGTATGAACCTCTTTTCATGTAAAGATTCACTGAAACACACAATTTGACAATGTGTCTAAATGTTTTTTCTTTTTAAATGAAATTACAGTACATGAAAAATTACATTCTGCTACTGGAATATTTTAATAATTAGTTTCAGACAGTAGCACTAATATGCTTGCTGGTTCTATACTGACATGGTGATAATGCTACACAGTACCACACAGTGATGCTATGTGGGGGTTATATGAGGGTTGAAGAACTCCTGATCTGCCAACAATTATTGTTTAAATAAATAAATAAATACATAAATAAATAAAAGCACTGTACCCACAGCATGAACTGACAGTATTTGATGTATAGACAACGTATTTTTCCTTTACCTTTCCACAATCGCGAATCAACAGGTGGTGCTTTACTTCTCCATATCGCTTTGCAATGTTAATAAAATCCGAATCTGTGTAGTCTTCAGCCTTTGGAAGATTTCTGACATCAAGGACTTTCCCAAACTCTTCCTGAAATGTTTTGAAGAGAAATTTGTATAATTGATTGTTCAGTTTAATGTTACTGTTTCATTTTAATTCCCTTTGATTAAATCCTATTTTAAAACCGACAAATTCTTAATGGAAATAACTACATGGAAATGAGACTATTATTAAATCATTCATTTGAATTACCTTGATGCCATTTGTGTCTTTCTCTCTGTCCTGTTGCTCCAAACACTGGTCATCTGTATTTACCGGTTCATGCTCTGAGGCCTTAGTCTCGGCAGCTGTACTGTCGGTGCTTTCTTCGTTAGGTGATTCTGACTGTTTATTGTTTTCTTCAGAGTCCATACAGGAGGAAGGATGTGGGGGATTTATGGTTTTGGGTTCTTCATCCAGTATATCCTGAAATGGTTCAAAACAGCAATATTTTAAGACAACTCTAGTCAGTAATTATTTGTAGTTCAGCACATTATTGGCCAATACTACAGACATAGATTAAGCTTATTCAAAGGATAAGTCACACAGGCAAAATCCTTTTATGCTCTGTCAAGTCCAAATCTGTATAGACAACTAGTCCCTCAGTATAACCTCAGGACCTAAACCATAAGCTTGCAAACTCTTAGGGAAGACTAACCTCAGTTGTCGGAGTTGGAGGGTTTTGTTCGTTTGATTCTGAAATGCACAAGAGCAGTTATTTAATTATATAATCTTTTGAAAAATCTCAAAAATGTAAAGGACAACTCTCTCTGTTATGAGAGGAATACCTTGATAATCTGAAGATGTTTCCTCCACAAGTTCATCCAAGGTGATGCAGTTCTCAAGACTTTCTGGGAAGTCAAAGTCCTCCTATAAAGAGACAAAAACAAGTATATAACACAATAAAAAGGCATACTTACAGAGTATGTAGTTAGAGTTACAGGTTCTGTGAAAGTACCTCCTCTATATCCAGGACTTCATCTTTTTGCTCTTCTGGCTTTTGGTCCTTCTTCAGACTACCTGATGTCTTTGAAGCATCTTCTAAAGTCTCTACTTTAACACCTGAATGAACACTTGGAATGCTCACTGCCCCTGAAGGCGAATTCTCCTGGCTTTGTCTGGTCAAACGCTTCACTTCTTCCCCACCAGAAAATGCATCCTGTTTAGGCATAGCTGCTGAGGTACTGGATGTCTGATCATCTTGCTGAGCAACTTCTTCACATGTCTTCTGTTCTTGGTCCATCTTCTGGTCATCTATGGGCTCATCATCATCATGCTGCAATTCTTCCCCATCATCTGCTATAACTGCTAGCCCTTCAAGGTCACTGTCTGAATCCATGCTTGCAACAGTGTCACTGTTGACACTTATCTTAACTTCATCGTCCTCATTTTGTGGCTTTGTAGTTTCATCGTTAGTAGAAGAATGTGAGGAAACGGTTGACTTCTTTGATGAAGTCTTTGATTTTTCCTTGGAGCACTGTCTGTCATCTCGCTCATTTGATCTGGAGCTCCTAGAAGAGTGGTTTCCCTCTGACGAGCGTCTTCTCTCTGACGAGCGTCTTCTCTTGGGGCTCGGACTATCCCTTTGAGAACTGCGTCTTCTTGGGCTAGACTTCCCCTGTGAGTAAGAGCTCAGTGATCGTGTTTTCTCATCAACTTGTAAGTCTCTGAACCATAAAAAAATCATACAAGAAGAGGAATACATAAACACATAAATATAGCAACATTCATCAATGTTTGATGATAAATAGTAACATAGAAATCAAACACACAAAAAGAAAAAGGTTACATGCTTACATTAGCGTGTCATATTCAGTGGAAAAGGTGACTTGAATTGCTTTTCCTTTTAATTTGAGTGGCTTTGTTACATAGTGTTCAACCAATTTCTTTGCATCTGCTGGATCAGTCATTTCCACATAGCCCTGTGAAAAAATGCACAATGCAATGTTATGGGGAAAGAATAATTTTATAAAATTAATTAGAAAAATGTCCTAATAACTTAAAACATCAATTAAATATATCACAAAATTGCTGCATCCATAATCTGCATATATCATGATTAAGGTACATACTTTGTTGATTTTCTAAGTGAAAAATAAGTTAAACATTATTATTGTAAAAAAAGTTTAAACTCTGTCCGTACCCGGCTTGGCAGGAACAAGGAGGTTTTTACAGATCCAAAACGTTTAGCAATGGCCATCAACTCGGAAGTAGTCCCATCTCCAGCAGGTAACGGGGAGAAGCTCACAACTCGGGAACTCTGTGATGGAACCGGACAAACACACAAACTACTTAGCAGACTGATGGTACAAGCAGTTACATTTCACCAGAAATCAGCAAATAACACAAACACAAGAAAGCTTTAAGTGATTTCTTACTATTATACTAAAATGTAACACTAACTGCTCAACTTATGAAGGATAACATTACCTGAAGAAAACTGAATGTAGTAGAGATGGAAAATTCTATTCGTTTTCCTTCAACAGCCAATGGATTATCAGTGAAGTACTTCACTATATCCTCTGACTGGTCTTTTGATCCCATTTCCACCAAAGCCTAAAACATTAACATGATGTGATACGTGCATAATAATGACACATTATAAATGAATGATGAAAAAGCAGACTGTCGTACCAGTGCAGGGAACATCATGACTTTCACAACTGCTCCAAACTGTCCAAGCAATTTTTTCAAGTATTCTTCATTCACTGAACTGGCTGCAAACGTAACACAGACCACTCTTCCCTGTGTTAAAACACAACCTTAAATTATTGTGCATCACTGAAAAAAAGTGAAGCAGAAGAAATATACAACCTACATGATCTTTTGGTGGTGTCTTTGTGTTGGATGTTTTTGCCTTGTCTGAAGTATTCTTTTTTTTGCTCTCCTTTTGGGATCCACCTTCTAAGAGACACGGTGGATTAACCGTTTAGATTACGTAAACTTTTTTACGTAAAATTTTAAGATGTTTAGGTAGAGTTGTAGACTTACCTTTTGTCTCTGTGGATGTGGCCTGTGATATCACCTGGGCCTCATTCCTAATGAAATAACCAACATTCAACAAACAAAACAATCCAAAGATCTAATTATGCTTACAAAAAAACTTGACTCGAGAGTAATTTACCTTCTAGACGATTTGATCTTCTGATCCCACTGTGGATACCTACAGAAGTCAAATAATTATACATTACAAATCACCATTACAGTAAATTCTGATCACTAGGTAAGACTTTATTAATTCCCGAAGAGAATTATAAAGAGAAATTATAGTGTTCCATCAGCATATAAAAACTAGCAACAGAAATAAGTACAGCATGAAATACTATACAATATATATGGGTGTGTGTGCTTGTGTGTGTTATATATGTAGCTCTGCCAAGGTATAGTGTTACACCCACATATATAAAGTACTAAAGTTACAGTTCTCTCAACACAGAAAAACGGATATTCATAACTTTAAATAAACAAGCTGCTACCTACAGTTGTTGGTGTATGGAGTGTCTAATGAACTTGATTTTAACACAATTGCAAGTTAAGTGTAACAGAGGTCGGGCAACACTTAACCCAATCAGTCTAGCCATGTCATCAATAAGAAAATACTGATGTTCAGGGTTAGAGTTACAGCTCAAGATTACAGGTTTGAAGCTGAGGTAAAACACTGAAAGACAGAAGTAATCGATACATTAATAACTGTTTTTCTTTTTAATGATTTACCTTTCCACAAGCCTGAGCTGACCGTTAGCATGGTGAGCACCTCTAGTGTGCACTGACCAGTCCTACAAAAGAAACGTGGATTGGTCCTTGTTTTGCAGAATTACAGTAGTCTCTATTCTTTACATGAAGTACAATGAAAATAAATAATAAATTAATATCATTTAAGAAGATCCATGCTTAGTCTGTAGAATTAGTCCACCTAATGCTGAAAGGTTACTATTCCTACAGGCATGAATAATTTTTCTTCATGTTTTAATCATTATCGATTACATACTGTAACACAGATACTGTAGCATTAGCACTTCTGTTTAACTTGCCTGATTTTTTAAATTAACTTTACAACAGTTACATTTTGTTAACAGGTAGTAATACTGGTTTAGTGAAAACTGAAAGCTCTACTTACTTTTTCAGAAAGGACAGTAATGTCACAAAGAACACATGCGTAAGGAAATACTGGAGGAACTTTGCCACGGAAGTCTGAGGCCTCTTTCCTGGTAGGAGTCTTATAACGTGGTTCTACTAAAATAAGATACAAAAGTCTAAACATTTTTACAACATAAGACAAGGTTAACTAAACTTTTAACAGTCAAAGAGAGATGAAAAATTTTACCTCGATTCTCAAAGACTTTGGCTTGTGTTGTCACCTGGCTCTCATTCCTAATGAAATTACAAAGATTTACCAAGTGATACAATACAACTGAATCAGATTTCCAATGCTTGTCACAAATGTTACCTTCTAGTGGAATCAATGTTCCGGTCCCATGCTGGGTACCTATAGAAATGTGAGAAATTATGATTTAATCAGCATTAGAATGAATTCTGTATGATACTCAAAACAGTCAGTGTAATCATTTCCTCCTGTATGATACTCAAAACAGTTCAGTGTAATCATTTCCTCCTTAAGAAGAAGATAATGTTTGGGCACGTTAAGAGAACCTACATTCCATGTTCATGTTTTAAAGTAGGGGTGTTCCAGCTCCAGTCCTGCAGGGCTGGTGTCCAGCACAGCTTGGTGGCTACCTTACTCTCACACCCTGGCAACCTGACAATTAACAGATGGGTTGAATCAGGCGCATCTGATAAGGCAAATTACCAAAATGTGCTGGACACGAGCCCTTCAAGACTGGAGCTGAACACCCCTGTTTTATAGTCACCTAATAACTGGTAAAACACAGCCTTTTTGAATACACTGTCAAAAGCTTTCTAAGCTGAGGTAAAAATACAAAAAGAAAAGTAATCAGCACATTCAGTAACTGGGGTGTTTGACATAACCTACTTTTCCACAAGCTTGAGCTGGCTGTTATCATGCTGAGTGCTCCTAACGTGCCCTGACCAGTCCTATAAAGGGAGAGAGAATTAGACCACATTCAGCAGAAATATAGTATAGAGTCATTGATACTCATAATAAACAAACAAATAAACAATATACAAATAAACCGGAATTATGACTGAACCTACAGAGTTACTGATCTTATTCAAAGTTTCCTCTCCATATTAGCATTAAACATAATTTTTTCATGATTTCATCATTTGCACAGTAATAGGCAACACAGATAATGTGGCATATGAGCATTCCATTAAACTTACCTGATTTCGGAAAGTCTAGTTAATTTACATTTTTACAGTTACATTTTGTGAACAAGTAGTGGAGCTGGTTTAATACATAGCAAGGATGTTACCTTTTTTTCAGAAGGGACGGGAAATACTGAAGGAGTTCTGCCTTGGACGTCTGAGGCTTCCTTCCTACTAGGAACATTTTGATACGGATCTGTTGAAACAGAATGTAAAGGGTGAAAATGTCCGGTTCCACCTTAGCAGAGACATAGCACCATAATTGCGGATGTTATGGAAGAGATCAAGGCTTCTACCGTTTGCCTTGGTGGATCTGGGCTGCTGCGTTGCTTGGTGCGCATTCCTAACAAATAATTAAAGATGTTAAAAAAACTCCCAATACAACAATTGAACTAGGTTTACAATTTCTAACACAAGTGTTACTTACCTTTTAGCAGATTCAACATTCTGATCCCACTCCGGATACCTATAAAAGTTAAATAAATCATGGTTTACACTCTTGGTGTAGTGGGCAGTAATCAAAGTAGTCTTAGGAACTTAGACTACATTTACAGCCCCCAAAACACTGGGGCAGTTAGAGGGAGCACAGATGTGCACAGATGGAGGTGTAAGGCCTGAACATTTTTAACAGAATCATTCCATGTTCACCAAATCCAGTCAAGTGGTCTTTATTGTCATACCTCAATACCACTTGTATACACTGGACTGAAATGTCATTCTTCAGGTCCCATGGTGCAAAAAACAACAGTAGCTCATTACACAGGACAGCACAGAGTGCAGATACACAACAGTGTTTCAGTGTATCGCCAGGAGAATTTTACAGCAACCTAATGACTGGTTACAACAAAATCCTTTCCAACTCACTCTCAAATGCATTTCACAGTTTAAGGGGCATTTCAGCTTAAAACTACTATTTTGCGTGTTCTCTGTTATGTAGTATTCTGTAGCACAGGACTGCACCCTTCAGCTTCCATCAGTTTCACAGATAATTATCCATCTGTGTTTCATCCATCACTGTTCTCACACTACAATATCCAGCATTCATTACGCCAATGTACAATCCAACCACTGGAAATCCCTCCCAAGAGTGATAAACGAATCCTGACTGCTAGCATACCCACTGATGAAGGGGTTAATAACTGCAGACGTGATATTTGGCTTCTAGAGCTGTCACAATCATTCAGTTTTTTGTTTTTGTATGAAATTATTGAAGTATAGTCCTAAAATGGCCAAATTGGCTGATTAGCTATCTTGATTCCTAGCTGTTGATACTTAGTAGCTCCCAACTGACGACAGACACAGCTGCCCTCTAAGGGTGTTAAGGCACAAGCCAGAAATTAAAACTTATTTTTTTAAACTCATATTGCGTCTTAATAAACTTGTTTTCTGCTGTTTGTTATTTACGTGCATTTGCCTCAACCCAACAAATGAAAACACACCCAATTCACAATGGCCCTTCTTCATCTAGATTGTATAAAAAAGGCATGCAGATCTGACTGCCTTTAATGATGTGTAAACTACGCTGCATGCAATTCATATAACTTCTGTACTGCATGTAAACAAGAGGAGATTAGAGTGGAAATGATGAATCAGCTTGAAATGAAAATAAGCAGTGCATGAAAATAAGTACAGATGCATGGTAGGGAGCCAATAAAAAAAAATAACATTTAGCAGCTTGTGAGCAGGCTTATTAGCTTCCTGCCAGTACTAGCCACCTTCTGCATTGGCCAGGTAGCAGAAAAAACCCAAACATTTCAAACTGCCTGCACTTAAGTGTCTGCCCCACAGCACTAGTAGTTTTTTTAAGCATTCATCACACTTTCAAGATATATCATCAGAAGTGGGTTTTCCTAGTTCTTAAACCAGAAAATCTCTTTCTAGGCACTACTGCAAAAACGCTGTAGGAGGTAAGTAGACACAACAGATGAAACAGTTACATTTTTCATTTTTGAACGTCTTTTAAAGATAAAATATCAAATATTTGTTAACATAAATGTTTATAATAATTTGCAAAAGACGACTTACTTTTTCACAAGTTTGAGCTGATTGTTAGCATGCTGAGCCCCTCTAATGTGCACTGACCAGTCCTACAATAAAAGAAAGAATTAGTCCACATTCTGCAGAATTACAGTAAAGATCCATTCAGCCTAAGACTAACATCTTACTTCACACCTACTGCTTTGATCACTTCTATCACATACTGCAACACACACTGGAGCATTAGCATTTTCACTAAACTTACCTCAATTTTTTAAAGCCGATGTTAATTAAAACAGGTTTACAGTTATGCTTGGTGAACAGGCAGTAATGGTGGTTCAGTGAAAACTGAAGACACTACTTACCTTCTCAGTCAAGACAGTAATGTCGCAGAGAACACATGCGTAAGGAAAAACTGGAGGAAGTATGCCATGGAAGTCTGAGGCCTCCTTTCTGGTAGGCACTTTAAAAACAGGGCCTGCTGAAATAACATGTGAAGGCTCAGAATTCTGCCTGGGGCCTTTGCTGTAATCAGTGTAAGAGTGTGAAACAGTTGAAGACGTGTTTGACGCTGCAGAGGTGTAAGGCTGTTCATTATAATAGGAGAGTCCATCCCTGGAGTGGTTGTAGTCCACAACGGTGCTTGTTTTACTCTCAGTGCCCAAGGTAGTGCTAGAGTTCATTGCAGAGCCAGTTTTTCGAGGGTTCCCCCAACGGTCTTGCCAGCTTTGTACTTGCTCTGGAGGAAGTGGGTGTGATGGACGCGCAGACCGATCTAACGGATAACCAACAGCTTGGACATGGGTGCTGCTTTCATAAGCATGAGATGAAGTTTTGGCACAAGGCTGAGTGGTGCTGGACCTAGATGAAGAAGTGCTGGACAATTTACTTTCTTTGAGCTGTAAAAGTAGTTTGGGAAGTGTTTCAACTGTAATGAGATGCTCAGGAAGTTCTGCAAGCAGGGAGAGGTCACTCGCATCCAGTCCACAGCTCTGGAGAAAGGACAGAGCCTTTCCAGGTACAAGAGCAGAAGAGTCCACAGGTCTGCTGGAAGATGCTGCTGAGTGAATCGTCTCCTGAGATGCTGATCTAGTTCTCGGCCGGTAAACATCTGACTCCCGCTGGTACGAATCCGGATACATGTCTTGACGTGATCTATAATCATCAGGTGAGCTTCTGTAGGAGTAGTTGTTAGACATGTCGGCAAGTCTAAGGTCTAAAAACGATGTCAGATGAAACAGAGTGCTGGTGCTGCAGTTTTCAAGGGAGAGGAGTTGAAGACCATTGAAGAGGAGTAGCAGACTCTCATCCACCTGTCGATAAAGGTTGTAGATGAGGAGAAAGCCATATATGTGCAGTCAAGGCCTCTCTTGTGTTTGTCCAAGGAAGGGGTCAACTAAATAGGACTTACCTTCAAAGATCAGTAAGACACAATCACTCAAGCTGATGTATATCATTCATTCACACCACATGAATCTGAACAGGGTTTTTGTTGGTGAACAGGTTGCACTGCTAGCTAGACGTGGTTTCCGGTTCTCATGCAAAATTTTAAGACGTGTCGTCAGCAGAGAAGATGCAACTTACATTTGGGAAACAAATTCAGATTTCCTCTTCTGTGGTTTGAGGAAGGATTAATGAAATTCTGACAACAGAAAGGTGTGTTGCATTTTAGATGCCCGCTGTCTTCCAAGTAATTGAATTACGGAGTACTTGGATTCACACAAAGAAATGGCGTCTAACGACAGTGTCTAGAATTATATGTACCAGGCCGTTGCCATGGTAATGTTTGTAACTTTAAAAGGGCAATCTGGTCAAAATGAGTGGACCCACAATAGTCTTGAGAGTGAGATTTCCTGGTTTAAAGGCTAGCAACGCCCCCCTCAGATGATGTAACTTGAAGGTGCGAGGAACTTTTGCAAAAAAGTACAGGTGTTTCGGGGCAGACACATGAGTGTGTTTTCTGTCCCCCACTGGCTTCCTAACACATTGAAGGAAGCCAGATAGGTGAGGTTACTGCTAAAAATTTAATTTATATAGCACCTTCTCCGAAAGTGTGAAGCACTTAATCATTAACTAAAAAACAAAGAAAAGAACTATATGTTAAACACACAAGTAAACGTTCAGAAAATGATATTAAATTTGATAGTAAACGGAAGTCAAATGATTAAAGCACATAAAATAACAAAGACAATAAATAAGTAAAAATAAACTAATTACATTCAATAATAATAAAAACTACACGTAAGGGCAAATTAGCAACAATACGCGTCCCCAAAGAGGTGAGTTTTAAGATTTGTAAAAGTTCAGACTGTCTGCTGTTCGGATGTGAGAGCTGATTCCACAGGCGCGGAGCAGCAGAGGATGTGAGCAGTAATAGCTTGTAAGTAATTCGATGTGATACAGGTAACCAGCACAAATCTTTGAGTATAGGTGTAACACGATGACGCAGACGGGCTGATGTAACGTTAACGTTAAGTAACCGAGCAGCTGCTATTTATTTAGAAAGCGAGATAGTACACAAGTGAGAAGAGCGTTGCAGTAAGTTAAAAGACGTGAAGTGATGAATGTATGTATGTATAAAGCGCTCGACATAAGCATTTAATAGAAATGTCCGAATGAGGCCTGTTTCTTGAGTGAAAGAATGCAGGTATACACGCACTGCATTCTGGGTATCGTATTGAGAGAACAACGCAAAGAGGATAAAAAATCGTGAAACCGTCAAACTCATCAGGCTGCATCGCTGCAGAATGTTAGCCCTAACTACGTAACACGACAGATAATAATAAATGCTGGGTTTAGGCCAGAATGCCCCTTTTACTATAAAACTAATTCAAATGATATGGCTAATTTATAACGTGGTAGCATCAGCAATGGAGGAGGCAAGAAGAGCAAAAACGGGGTTGACTTGCCCATGTTTTAATGTTAAATGTTTGGAGCAGACCGACTTATTTGCATTTGTTTTCAGCAACAAATGCATACCTTAAAATATTCCTTCACCAGACTTCTCCATAGGCTTTAGAGATTTGTCTCTTTGGCTTAACTTTAGCTACGTAGGTAGCTAGCTAGCGTTAGCTAGTCAGTTTGCTAACAGCACGACACATAACATAACATTATTATCGGGGATTTTTATTTTTCTAAAATACACCGTTAAACAGTAAAAGGTTTGGTTAACTTACCTGTGGATGTAACTGTGATGTAGGTTGTACATAAACAGACCATAACGAGTCGTACGTTAAGAAATGTTTGTCTCATTCATGTATAAAATCAGAGCTTCTTGAACGCAACATTTTAATCACAGTGAAGCATTATAAATGTTATTATTTTTTTAAAGCATTATGTTTTACTATATAACAGCAGTCTAAGCTCTGGCGTAGTGACCAACCGAGAGCAGAGAACGAAGGCAAGTTGTAAGGTCTCGTTACGAGTTAGCAAGCTAGCTAGCTAGATTTTGTTCTGTGTTGCCCTTTTGCCTAAACGCCATGTCACACAAGTTCACGGCGTAGTTTTGCATATCATGTTATGTCTCAGTTAATTACAAGTAAAGCGATTAAACTATACAGGGAACAACTAACGGCAAAACATACCTTTGTTGATTCCAACGTAGAACGTTAGTTAACGTTAGGACGCTAGGACTCAAAATAAAAGTCTCAACAGGCAGTCAGTTGACCAGAAATCTACGATACCGTGGTCAATCACCTAGCTACATCATGTATAAAAAATTGTCAACACACAAACTACCATGTAATATTCAGTTACAATTATAATGGCCCGTCAAATCAACTGAAAAACGAAGCAAGAAACAGGCTGCACGTTAACCCTTTGTTGGAGCTATTGGGGCTTCAGCACCTTAATCATTAAGCCATACCCGCCTCCCCGCCCACAGTAGCATTTTCACATTATGAAGTAAGTGAAAGTGAAAGATCTTTGTAAAACAATGTTTATTGTCAGTTTATCTGTGGCTTTGAATTCACAACCAGGAAATGCAGGTCTATATATAAACAAACAAAAAATGACAAAAGCAGGCTCTCTTGTAGGATTCATATTAGGCAAAAAAAAAAAAGTGCAGTTACTTTTTTGTCTGGGTTAATACCTAAAACTTCAAATAAAAATAAGGTAAATGATCAATAATTCAACCTAATTGTCACATTCAAACACATTCATGGACTACATAACAATGGCTCATGCACGATGAAATACTGTACAGGACCAATCCTTCCTCATCACTCAGTTCTTCCCAGCATTACTCTGTGTTTTGGCCTTCTCTTTTTCCAGGTGTTTCTAGAAAGAGGAAAAACAACAAAAGGTTCAAGCTTGCATTTTGGGAAATGTTTATTACTTTATATGGTCAGTTGCCAGCTGTGCCTGTTTTGTCTACCTGCAGAGCTAAATTAATGGTGTACTGCAACAGTGGTTCTCAACCTTTTCCCACCCCAAGGGCCACCTGTGTACTACAAAGCATACCGGCCCACAAGAAAACTAAAACCAGCTTTTAAAAATACAACTTTTTTTTTTCTTTTCTTAATGCTGACACTAAAAACCAGAAAATTAGGGTGAGAAATGTATGAGGCAGATGTGGACTGTGATTTGGAGCTGCAGTCCAATAGTCGTTATGCTGACTGTACAGCGCCGAAGGAAAGCCAGCTCTGTTGATGAATTCCCTCGGTTGACCACAGAACGCGTTTCCATCAGCAGTCAACAGAACCAGGGTTCGTTTGAAGCGGACTGATACCTGCAGTTTTTTGCCATACAGGTTCAGCTGTTTGTTGCAGACCCGAATACGAGTGGAGTGTTCACACGTCAGAACAGACCGAACTGAAGAAAAAGGTATGAAAAGTCCACACCAAACAGAGTGCCCTGAGAAACTTCTCCATCTCTGGATAGCGGTCTGCATTGCGCACCTGCAGCTGCATTGTCTCAAACAAATGATATTTAATTATCCCACTACTGCAACATTTTTATTTGTATGCGTCAATTAATATTTATATTGGTTATAATGGGAAAACACCTAATTCTTAGATTTTTAAGTATTAAGTTAATCTGTTTTTCCCCCCAAATTACTGCCCCCACTAGAGGGTGTTTCATAGCCCACAGGTTGAGAAACCCTGTATTACAACATATTGCAAATTAGTTCACAGTTTTATTTTATAATAGAAATAATTAAATGTGGAATAATTCTAGCTTATTAGACTTAATTATAATTTCAGCCTGCTGTACAGCAGCTGCTCTTCAGAGCACTGTGTAGGTGTAGCAACTGACCTTACCAGAACATGCTGTTGCACATTTAAAGAATATCACTGCTGCTGGAAGAAAACCTCGCATCTCCAAAATGACAACTTTACAGGAGAAGGAAAAAACTTACTCAACTTTTAATGTTAGTCAATGGAACCACACTCCAACCCCAATTTACACACAATGTAAAGGACAATAGGCATTTTCAAATTATGTCAAAAACTGAAAAAAAGACAAAAATGGAGATAAGGTTTTCTTTTGACAGTAGCAATATGTTCATCATGTAAAACAAACTTGTCAGGCTGTATAAGCCTGTCAGTTTGTCAACACTGATACTTTTATTTAGCAAAGGCTGATGACAGAAATAGAAATGTTACAAATTCCGCCCCCCATCACAAAGCTTAAGGGCCCAGACACACCAAGCAGACGAGAAAGGCCAACTGAGGCACTTGAGCACACCGCAGAGACTGCATCTAAAGACAGACACACACATACCTAATGCACCTGCACAAAAAGAGAACAACTCGACAGCAGGCAGTTGGTAAAAGTCAAATTTCAACATACAAAGTAAAGAATATACTGTTTGAATGTCTAACAAGCTTGTCTGTGTTTAAGCAAAGCATAGTGTGTGAAAAAGTAAACTACCGATAGCAGCACTGGATGAGTAAAAAGGGCTACTTAAAAGTCAATGTTTGTATTTTAAACAGTGAAACAAAATGTGCAGTTGGCACATGTTTATCATTATGTAACAAGGTAAAATATCCATGAAAAGCCCTTTAAAACTCGCGTGTCTGTGTTTATTCATTACAATTACTTTTTTACTCTCATTTGGAAGATACTTCTCATTTAAAAATTCTGACATTCAAAAATTAAAAACATGCAGTGGTATTTGCACTGGTGTTGAAAAAACTCAGGCTATTCTCTGTGCATGCCAAAGTCTCTTGCTTACTTTCTTTTGTTTCTCTTCTCGTACACTGACACTCAGCTCTCTCATGGTCAATCACCAAAACCTATTCAACATACACAAATGGCAAAACAGAGCTGACAAGAGCCATGTAGTGTCAACAGTGTGGGACACGCTGCACACACTATGGATGACAAAGCGCCATCAATGCTCATCAACAACGTCTGACTGCCAACACTCAGGTTGGTGTGTCAGGGCCCTAAGACTATTTGAGCTGTATGAAAGCACCTTAAGTTTGTCGTAGTGTGCCTGGCTGCTGCAGTGAACCTTCTTAGCCGTTTCCTCATTGGAGTAAAAAAGGAAGCAGACTCTGCAGTAGTATCCCATCTTCACAAACTCCACACCTGCAATAATATCATAATGCTGACAGTGATGACTCGTTATAACAATGAAAGGAGACTGTAGCGTGGAGCTTAGAATTTCTAAAATGAATACACACTGGAATCCCAAAAAGCAACACACTATAATTAACGATTATCATGCTTTGACCCTCATTCAGGTTTTATCCTCATCAAAAAAAAAAATGGTGGCTTACCCACTGGGGTATTTGGTTCATAGGGGCCCAGAGTGGCCAGAGTGGTTTCAGGTTTTTTCACAGATTGTGCTGCAATGGTAGGGGGTTCATTAGTCTCCTGGCTTTTCTGAGGCACAACAGCACAAGGTGCAGCAGAGGGAGCAGCAGAATCGTCATTCTCAGTCGTTGGCTTAATGGGGAACAATTAAAAACGGCTGTTATGTTAGGAATGGGTTATTTACTTTAGACATATCAGTCTACACATCACTGCATTTCAGGCATGAAATTCTGTGAGAAAGAAGCAACAGAAAATTTCATGACCCAACGTGATTGCCGTTAATGACTCAAACAAGAATGAGTATCACACAACCACAAATCTTAATAAAACCAGGCACTAATCAAAATAAGCTCACTGCACTATTGCAAAGAAATATTAATAAAACCAAACTAACTGAATAAACTGACCGGTTTGGTCTCCATCTCCTGAGCCTCAGTTGTATCTGTGCTGTTTTCCTCTGTGTTCTCTTTCTTCACTTCTGGTACGCTCTCACTAGGGACAGCCTTGCTTTCCTTGTCCTCCTGCTTTTCCTCCACTGGTTCACTCTCAGCTTTATCCGTGCTTGATGTCTCCTCTTTCATCTTCTTGGTCGGTGGCTCCTCTTCCTTCTTGGTGGTAGGTTTGACTGGGGAGCTTTCTTGGGATTCCACCTCTTCTTCAGAGCGCTCCCTCTTGGTTGGACGTTTGTCTTCTGGCTCAGGGGTTGGAGGTCTGTGTCTGCAAAATGGGAATGTGAATTAGTGTAAATATACCCAACAGAATGTTTCTGCAAAACAGGACCAAGTGCTTCAAAACAATCTTAAGTTATTAACTGAACAAGAACAGAATAGAAACATAGCACTAACCCATGTTTGAGTTGTTTGTACTTTCTGCTAATGTAGACAACTAGCCGTTTGCCTTGAAACTTTGGTGGATTATCCTTGGAGACCTCAACAAATCTCTCAGCATCCTCACCCCTCTCCATCTCAATGAAACACTGGTGAAGCAAACACATACAACATGATCCTACTTTACAATTACAGAGGCAGTATAGAGAATGTGTAAATAATGAAGGATTTAGCACTCTCCCACACTTGTGGTGAGTCCATTACCTCATTGCGTGCCCTGTTCAAAAAGTAACGTCTAACTTTCCCAAATGGCTCTGCAATTTTCAGAAGGGAGGCATCTGATGTTTTAAAAGGTGGAATATGTCCAATGTAAACAACTTTGCCGTTCTGTGAATGTTGAAAAGAAACACATGTTTAGGATGTTTTACTAAACAGAAGCATCATTTCAAAGTGTAGAAGAACACTGCTTCTCACCTGGATGGTTGGGTAGATCTGCGAATGATAAATTTTCACTGCTTTTCCACAAACAGATGGCATGACATTTCCATTGTAGAAACGAACCATTGCTCTAGCTTCTTGCTCACTGGAAAGTTCCAGAAAGGCCTTAAAACACAAAACATTACATGTAAAACTGGTAATATTCTGGGGGTGGGGTGGATCTGGGGGTTTGCATCCCTTATACCACTCCTGAGAAATGGTACCAAACGTTTGCAGACCTTTAGTGATGTATGTAGAGTACTTAATTGCCTAGTTAAGGAAACCTACCTCAGGCCTCACATTCAGGACCAGGTGTCGCACCACTTTACCAAAGGGCTTGGCCAAAGACAAGATCTCATCAAGATAACCATAGCCACGTTTAAATCCAACCACATTGACGACTCTCAAGCCCTGTAAATAGAAAGTATTTGCTATTTCACATCCCTCTTGAAGGAAAATATTCAAATACAGTCACTGGTATGAAAGGTGGTATGATTGGTATGAACTATTCTCAACAGAGCAGTGACACTGATTTGAACCATTTCAAACCCTACTAAAATGTCACTACCATGTTGGCATCATTGCTGTGCTGAGAAGGGTTTGCCACCCAAATAATATTTGGTTAGCTGTGGTTCTTTGTTGGTCCCTCTTCATTAAGGGATGTTTGCACAAGGCAGTGACAATGTGCAAATAACACCTGTCTAACCGAGAACATAGGTAACGTAGCTAAATCACATAAGAAAAATTATTACTTACACCACTTTCCCTTGATCTACCTGTAACATATAAAGAAAAAAAAGGTTAGGTAGACATATTTTCGAAAGAGATGTATTGTGTTGCAACCAAAAATGTTTTCTTTTACCATCATAAGCCCAGAAATGCTACTTTGCTAACAACAATTCACATAATGTGCAGCTGCCAGAACTGTAATCTATAGCACTAGGTCCCATAACTGATCCTTGTTTATAACTTTGTTTATCCAGCAAAGATTTCATTTTTGGTGAAAACATCAATCAGCAAGACTAATCTTTTGTTACTGAACTGCACCAAACTAAACAACCATTTTAAGGCAGTACCTGAAGAGCTTTTATCTCCAGATTTTGAGTCGTGCCTTTCAGCCTCGTCTTCCTCTGCGAGCTCATCCAGAGTCACAAACTCATCCATGTTTTCAGGGAAATCAGATTCTTCAAGTCCTTCCTATCAACACAAAGATTAAGAGTTCAAATATAAAATAAAATATCTGATTTCAATGCAAATGGTCAAACATTTTGTTTAATTTTTCAAACCAAACAGGTTTTAGATCGTACGCCATTTTTCATTAGAGTTCATCTTCATTGCATCCTTTCCCCAGGTAATCCTGTAGTATTCCATTACTATATGAAAACAAATTGGCTCAGTTTACACATCTGCAAGTTTTCTTACCAGTTCACCAAAGTCCTCATTCTCGTTATCGCCCTCAGCTTGTTCCACATCATCCAGGCCCTCTGTATCTTTGAGGTCCTCTGTGGTGTTCTCTTGGTCTGCCTCAGGTTCAGCTGGCTCTTCTGATTGAGCCTCCTGCTCCAAGTCTGCCTCCTCAGGCATCTCAGGGCCCTCAGCATCATGCATGTCATCTTCTGCTGGCTCCATTGCTGAACCCTCATACTCCAGTGGGACTTCTGGATCAGGCTGCTCTGCACCTGCTTCCTCGGCCTCAGATGTAAAGTTTGTTTCCTCTATACCTGGACCTTCATCAAAGGCCTCCTCCTCTTCATCATGAGCCTCCACAACACCTTCCCCTTCATCACCAGATCCTTCTGGAAGGACTTCTTTGTCCTCCTTCTCAGGTTTTGGCTCTTCTGTCTTTTCAGATGAGCGCTCTTTGGATTTGGAGCTTGTGGTCCTTGGAGACTTGGATGAGGTTTTGGAACCTGTTCTGCTACTGCTGCTGCTGCTGCTCTTCCGGCTGGATTCATCTCTATCATGTCTTGGTTGGTCTCCCTTGCCAGGTGGAACCCTAAGACACAGTCTCGATACAATTACTGTCATTTCCCTGATCAAAAGTTCTTTCAGTAGGCCATAGATGAATTACTTACGTCAAAGTCTTGTACTTGGTGCAGATGTTTAGACGGATGGACCTACGCCCAATCGTCAATGGATTGAGGGTATAGTACTTCACCAACATCTCTGCATCCTCTGCATTGCTCATTTGCACAAATGCCTGTGATGGACAAGAAAGAACACATATTTCAGTAAACCTAGAGAAAGTTATGAATGTGTAATGTCAAAATGTGTGAAAAACAGAATTGATGGTAGAAGTTAAGGCATATCAGAGAAGATCCTTTTACCTCATCATTCAAGAAAAGATGTTTTTCAACTGTGCCAAATCGACGTGATATCGTAAGCAACTCCATTTTCTTCTCAGTCTCTCTTGGCAAATTGGAAAAGAACACCACTGGGCTGGTTCCCCCCTTTACATTTCTACTGTCTCTGTCTGGTCTGTCACTTTTCTGTAACAAAGCATTGCATCAGTTTACAACAGTTGAAAAGTTATAATAGAAAGAATGCATCACCACACTTCACAGTACACAATTATACTGGGCTGTCTCCAGTAACTGCCATTTCATTTTGTGTAAGCAACAACTTTTATAAACACTACTGTACAGTAAGGCGTAGAACATGAAGGTACAGTATATTATTGCTTGAAATATCATGGTTATTCATTGCCAATATGTCTATGTTAGGATTAACTTTAGAAATATCAGTTGAAGACAAGGCATGCTGACTGATTCATAGAGATGAACCGATTCCACTTTTCAATACCAAAATCAATACCTCAGCCTTAAGTATCAGCCAAGATATAGTTGTTGTGAAAAAAAGTGCTGTTATAACAAATAACAGCATGGTTTAAATACTTCTCAACGAATTAGACTGATTGGGATACCAACTTTTTATTGTAAATTTTGCACTGAGCATTGTTCTTAACATAACTTAGTGCTCCCACACATGATATTTCAGACACCTTAAAACTTTTAGCTTTAATAACTGTAATAACAATAATAATTAATACTTTAATAACAGTTCCATTTAAAGGCCTTTGCAGATGAAACGTGTTGTAGTTTAGGCTACAAATTTTGTGTTTTGAAAAAAGACAAAACTTCTAAATACTAAATCAATAACCAAATTCCAGCATAGACAAATAGTCAAGTATTCAAATTATTCAGGCCAGCCCTATTAAATACTTCCTTTTTACCATTTTACTTTGTGTTCTTACCTCAATTACCAGCAGTTCCTTGGATATGTAAATCTGTACATCCTTCCCATGCAAAGTGGCAGGCTTCTTTTGATAATAATTAGACATTGCCAAAGCCTCCTCATGAGTCTGCAGCTCCAGAAAGGCCTACCAAACACAAACAACAGAGTGACTCATTATTATCTGTGATAGAGAAACCATGAACTCTTAACATGATGGTTAAAAAATTCAGTGTTACCTTGTTCTTGAGTACAAGGTGTTCACGGATGGTGCCAAATGGTCTGGCCAGAGCAAACAGGTTGGATAACACTGGCTTCCGCTCATATTTTACTACTACTACCCTGCTTCTTACCTGAAAGAGATTAGCAATTAACAGACAATACAGCTCAAATTACAGAAATTACTGCATAACTACAAAGAAGAAGTTGTTATGTCATTTTCCATTCAAATATAGCTATGTGAGAGCAAAGAATTTTAGGGGATCAGAGATTTTCACAGCTCATTTACCTTTGGTGTCATAGAATATGACTGCATTTTGCTTGTCATACCCATGCCAGAATCAGCTCCTTAAAACAGAGTAGTCACAGTTAGTGTCATTAAGTCAACTGCATACAACAACATATCTCTGTCTACTGTTCCATTATCCATTATTCAGGTTGTGGTTTGAGATCCGTATCTATCATTACTATGTATCCATAATGGGGGAATCAGTTTCTGAATGAACAATGGTCATTCTGGAATATGCTCAGACTGTACACACCAAATATACTACATGTATTCTAAATACATGAGTCTCATAGAATGGATTACTGTAGACATAAGTACATTAAGAATCTCAAAGTCCTGATGAGATTTAAAGTATAGATTTTCACAGATTTAAAGAAAAAAAACAGTCACAAAAACCTCAAATGTATATACAGCCATATTACCCCAATTTGAACTCATCCCTGTTCTCTGCCTCATACCACCAGATGGAGCAGCCCCGAGTAGTCCTTCTGATCGCCCCTTTGTGTCCAGGGACATGGACCCTGACCTGAAGAAGACAACCAAAAGAGAGAGAAATGTAAGTATTCTGCATAAAATAAAAAATGCTTAGATTAACACCACTGGTACAGATTTAAGCAACAGTCGTCAGTTACATACATTCGTCCAGAGGGCATATGAGGATCCCAATCTGGATACCTACGAACAAGCAGAAAAGAATTTTTGAATTGCTTTTAAATATACTTCACAAATGGAAAAATCTATCTGAAAATGAACACGTTATGCTAGGTTCTTTGAATTTTATGTACATTTTGTGTGTATATAGAACCAGTCAAATAGGCAAATAATTTAGTTTTTTAAATCGCTGATTAAAATACAGCATAGATCATATCTGATCAGAACAAAAACAAAACACCTACAACTTCACAATTTGACTATTTAAGATTTTGTGGTGCACATACAATTGCAGGAGGACTCTCCTGTTTTCGGCATGCCGCATTCCAGTTGTGTGTTGAGTCCATTCCTGTGAAGACATCAAAAAGCCATTAATTAGTTGTTAAACACTGAAGACCAAACAATCTGAAAGTTAATGAAATTCCTTTTCCGTTATTTCAACAATTAGAACACGTGACCTTGATCTATTCCACAATATGTAAACAGTACAATGGCTTTAACATCTAAATCAGGAGGACGTTTGTTTAGATCTAAATGTAATAGTGCTGGAACATTAAGATCTAGCACTTACAAGATGGGACGGATTTCTGGGTGCAGAATTTGAAACTGACTATAAAAGATAAGGATGCTTCAAATAAGGAAGAATAAGAACTACAAACACTACATATACTTTCTACAGGACCTTGACAGGGATTTATCCTGCATGCCTGCACATTAATTTTCTTACACTCAGTGGATGAACACCAACGTGGACTGACAACCAAATTTTGACACAGGTGTTCTTTGCCATAAGGTTGACATGGAAGAAAGTATGTGTGTTCAAGAAACAAGTGTTATGGACTACTCACCATGGCAGAATGTACATCAAAGTCACAAAGGGAGCACACATGAGGAAACATTTGTGGCATGACTCCCAAGAAATCCTGTATTTTTCCCTGAGAAGGGGCTCCCATCCTTCGCTGCATAAAGAGGTCATCAGATGTTGAAGATGAGCCCATGCCAAGGCCACGATAATGGTCGGTGGAAAGCTCAGAATACTGGCGGTCTCTACTGCTGCTGCTGCCGCTGCCATAATCTAGCATATCGTACCCACGTGTAGAGACGTCTTGCATGGAACCGTAGCCAAAACTGCTCTGGGAAGTGCGGCTCTGACTCTGCCCCACAGAACGGTCCAGTCGTCCTCCCTGCATGTCTCCCCAGTCATCACGGCCTCCTCTGTATGAGGTGTCTGGGGAGAGCGATGGCAGGTCACCAGTCAGATGCCGACTAGCCTCCACCTTACGATTTTTAAGTTGCATGATAAGATGGGGCAGTGTCTCCACGCTGATGTTTTCTTCCGGGACTTGTGCCAGCACATCCAGGTCAGTGGGTGAGAGACCAAGGCTAGCAAACAGCTTCATAGTATTGCTAAGATGGCTGCCCACACGGCGGGGCAGCTGAGAGTCATGATCTTGTCCGTCCCCTCCGCCCAAGCCCACCATTCCACCAAGTTGTTGGGAGGAAGAGCCGTAGGAATCAGAGTGAGATTCACCCATGCTATAATTTAAAGTTTCGGCGGCAGCCAAGAGCCCACGGCCTACAGCAAAGCCTTTCTGAGCACCATCAGACGTGAGCTTCTGGGACATGGCTTCAAACCGTTGGGCTTCAGGGAGTTAACAAAAAGAAAAGAATGAACCAGCTGATCAAATTGTCCCAAGAAGGACAGTCCGTGGATAAAAATCCAAGTGTTAAAGATAAGCCAACGCTGAGAAAGGACAGTTCCTCTTCTATGATAGTATGAAACAGGTCTGCAGAAAGACAATGGAGCAATGATTTCTAGCATGCCCTCAATTGTTCAGCAGTGCCACAGGAAAGCAAGTCAGTGAACTCTACAAATCAAATTTAGACAATGAAAAGAAGTAACAACTGACAAAATGATAAAACTGCCCAACTGCAACATGCCCAATGGTATGAAGATTTACAGGAAAGACAATGTGCATTATTTAATAAGGATGTGCAATAGAGCTTTGAAGAGAAATGTTAAGATTTAGAACTATGCATATCCTTAAACTGGCCAGGAAAGAAAGCATTGCATATCGCAGTCAGCACAGGAAAACCATGGAGACATGATGCACATGATTCTCATATCTGAAAAAAAAGAAAGAAAACTACAGGAGAGTCAATCAACAATGGGTATCTCAGTTGGGCAGAAACATGTCAGAAGAAGAGAACAGAAAGTACTTTAACTCCAGGAGATGTCCTTTTATTTGAAAGACAAAGCCTTCAAACCACTGGATGGCCCTTACTTGGATGATGATTTAGAAACTGTAGTAGGCATGTGAAGAAGCACATGGAATTACTTCAATAGATCAACATTGAACAAGGCATTTTTCTTCGGCCAGAGGAAGCTAAACCACTAGTGGTCACTTTAAAGCTAATAATATGAACAGAAAACATTCAGACAGCTTTTGCTGTACAAAAATAGCCAAACAGCATGGTCAAAACTCAGAAGGACAGGGCGCACACCTCTGGACATACCTTACCTAATTAAGGAGTAACTGTGAATGCAACAAAAATCAAAAGTAAATCCACAGCATTAGGCAACCAGCCCTACTGCAGCATGACTATAACAGTGACACTATTTTTGGCAAACTGGTTGACTAAGACAAGGCTGCTATGATCAAATACTTACTGGATATTTTAGTAAATATCGTCTCTAATACTTGAATATTTCACATGTATAAGAGAATCTTACCTTTCACATAAAATGACAATACGTTTATACACATCAGTAGAACATTAAGCTTTTTTGAGGGGTAATACTGGTCTAATGATAATGGATCTAAACTGCACAATGTAACATGAATGTTGTATTCTGTTGTGCTTTTAGCTAGAAATCATTTGTATTTCCATTTCATTCAACATGCATGGTGGTACTGGCAGGAAGTCTGATGCCACATCACACTTCACACTCAATGTGAATTAATAAATATCTTTGAACTGAAAACTGTCATACTATCAAGCCCCCTGTGCTCTCTCTAGTCAATTTTTCACCACCTGTTTTTAGATTGGTTATCCTGTCAAAAGTGATGAGTGGAGCTTCCAGTCATTCCAGATATTCCTGTCATTTCATGAACTTCTTAGTTTTGTTTATGCTGTGAACCACGAACAGTTGGCAAAACATGAAGATCTGCCAGATGTATGTCATTACACAGCAATGTTTAATTGCAAAACCTTGTAATCCATTTTATAAGCAACACTGTTTGTCCAATCAGTCACTAGCATAATGCTAATTTCCACTAGCACCCCTATGAACATTTTTTTTAATGTCATTGATGTCAAGTTAGTACTGTTCTATATTCATGTTTGATGCCAATTCTAGCTTATACACAGGAAAGTGAAGCTTGTTGTTTGCTCTACATGCAGTTTTACCATGACTCTTCTGGAAAGTTGAATTTGAAATTGTTTCTCAATATTATTGAACCAGTCTGTTGGCCTATTAGCGACCCACTGACCTCATCTAGTGAGGGCAGAATATAGTCCAGTTATGAAAAATATAAAGTTTAAGTCTGTTAAAATTGTGGTTGTGTCTTACAGATCATTTCAACAACAAAGGGCTTTTTTTACACAGTGAAACACGGTGACACTACAGGAATCATTTGGGAGGCATCACACTAAACTAAGTGGAACAAAAGCACCAAACAAAAACTCAAAAATGCTTTACAGCAGAAAGTGTCAAATGCAGACACCATGATTAAATTTGCTAATAACTGCATGAATTTTGGTATTTTGACCCTTAAAAAGTTGTTTTCAAATCAATACTTCATATATCACAATGACCTTACAACCTAACAGATGAAATGTGACCCGAGTTCATCTTTAAGGACATACCAGTACTACTATAAAACTGCTAACCTTTCCACGTTTGTTTTCAGTTTGGAATTTACAGTCAAAGGCATCCAACATCTTACATGCCTAGTATCTCAACTGATATCACTGACCACAGCAGGTCATCTCAACCAAGTCATCTCAAAAGTACTGGATAGAGCTCCACTAAACCAGAGAACACAGTTCCACTGCTTTTACCTGATGCTTGGCATTGGACATGGTGACCTTAGGGCCATGTGCAGTCCAGAGCAACCCATTCTACTGGCAATGCTCTTCTGTAGAGAGCACGCAGGTGGTGTGTGTGTGTGTGTGTGTGCACACAACTGAAAGCCTGTAAAATCACTAATAACACTGAGCACCTGAATACTTTTGGACACAAGGTGCCAGTTTATAGTGCAGGTCAAGTTTGAAGTGACCCAAGTCTAAACTGCAGTGGTCGTAACGTTACGAAAACTGCTCTAGTAATAGTTTTGCCAATCAGAAAGGACGAACTGATGAACAGAAAAGAGGACAGGAATGGAAGAGTCAGAGAGAGAGCATCAAAGAAATGGGCTTGAGATACATGCGAAATGGTTGCTGTTTTGAAGCTGAAGAATGTGTACAGCAGTTAAGAAACGTATGAAGGCGCAGGAGGAGCCAAATCAATAAGACTTGTGCTCTCATTTCACGGCAAATGCAAGAAAAACAGACCGAACGGCGTCTGAGTGTTGCGATAGCTTAAGTAACTGGCCAAGTCTTTGTACCACCACTAATATTAAGGTTTGTATAGAAACGATATCGAGTCGAAATTGAAAGCCCTGCATCTAAAGGATGTTTCTAAAAAGTTATCACGCGGCCTGGGCTGACCGAGTGCACGATTTAGCTAACTTTAGCCAAGCTAGCTAACCTAGCTAACAAACAAGCAAACTTCTTTGTATCTAGCGCGTTTAGCCGGCTCTTATTAAAAATATATAAATGCAATCAACTGTTGTAGTTTCGTGTTAACTAAGGCAAATCAACAGTCCTAGTGGTATTTTACCTATACCATATGAGCAGAACAACTGCTAAGCCACAAAATGTTCTCACTGCTTATCAAATAAACCATAGGTAACGTTAGCTTCTCAGCTAGCAAAGCTTCCAAAATGGCCAACTGGAAATAAAGCTCGGTTCTCGGCTACTCTACTCGCTCAGGCAAACACACTTTAGTCATACTTTCACACATAATGCATAAGATAAAACAGAGTAGTAACCCGTGTCTCTTGTTTAGAATTATGAACACTAACTACTTACATTTTTGGCTCTTCAGTTTCCTCCTAGGCTGCAAAACCGAAAGCACGCAAATTGTTACCAGATATTAGTGATGGGTCGGTCGCGAACGATCCGGCTCTAAGAACCGGCTCCTGATTGTGAGCCGATTTTTTTTTCTGTTAAAGCGTGATTGGTCAAGATGTGTGGTGTCTGTGAGTCTTCATTGAGCGGGAGCGGGGAGGGCAAATATGTCTGGAGGGGTTACAAACACACAGGACAGTGTGCACAGGAACAGGAGGGAGGGGAGTCTCCCGCAAAGTTCTCTCGGGAGACGAGAGAGCGAGAGAACTTTGCGCTTTACATAGTCAGACTACACGCTGGAAAGGTGAGGAAAATGAGTGACAGGAAACGTAGTAAAGTTTGGACACATTTTAATGTGATAGACACTTCAATGGCAGAGTGTAGACTGTGCAAAGTTGAGTGATGTTTTGTTGATGTTGTGTTGGTTCACTGTACAAATTTACAAATAATATACACAATCAGAGATTGGACCTTTTTGTCTAATTTAGATGGGTCTTTGATTTTTGTAGTTTATAATGTATTTTTGTAGCACTCTGTTCCATGTTGAGTATATAAATAAAGCCATATAAATAATAAATATTTTATATAATGTATTAGTAATTCATTTTACACATAATTTGGTAATAAATTAATTTAAGCAACAAAAAATCAGAGGAGCCACTTGGGAGCCGAAAGAGCCGGATCTTTTTAGTGAGCCGAGCCAAAAGAACCGGCTCTCTAAAAAGAGCCGGAATTCCCATCACTACCAGATATGTTATCTTTCACGTTACGGAGCGTCAGCTGACAGACTTCCGGTCATTCGAAGAATCTGTTTCCTGTCAGAGGAGAACACTGACTCCTTGTTTTTTTTAGTTAATGTCATCTTCAAAACAGTCTAATGATAATAATAATAATAATAATTGTTATTATTATTATTATTATTTCGGCTTAATTTATATAGCCACTGTACACATTACATTACAGCCCCAAATTGGTGGGAAAAACATCAACTTAAGTGAAAAGGAGAGTGAAAGTGCTGCAAAAAGAGAAAAAGGAAAGTGAAGCTTTCAAGCCACCTATTAATTCTCAAATACTTCATGTTTTGTCAAAGATATGGCTCAGCATGACATGGTTTAGTACAGGGGTTATTATTATTATTATTATTATTATTATTATTATTAATTGCCGTCAGGTCCTTTATTCTAGTGTTTCTCCAGAATATTGTGTCTTCTGTTTGGGTCTTCAGCCTTCTGAATGGCTAGTTCATGATTCCACTGATTGTTGCCGGCCCATCTTGCTGGTCATCCTCTTCCTCTTAGCACATGGGTACTCAATACTTTTGTAATTGGAGGCCAAAGTGCAAAGTTTGTGGGGTATTGAGGGCCAAAAATACAAAACAATATACAATTAGAAAAGGTATGTAGGTTTCAAATTGAGTTTTTAAAAATGTATGTTTACTAAAAATGTATCTCCAAAATGATAATTTTACAGGAGAAGGAAAAACCTACCTAATTTTGTTCCATGTATTTTATTCTATTCATCATGAAATGGCAGTTTCAAATTATGTCAAAAACTGAAAAACAACAAAAATGGAGATACAAGGTTTGTTCTGATAGCAGCAAGATATACAATGTCAAATTTGTAAAAATAGATGAATCCTTTTTGGTGATTTTCAAAAAGGTTCTATTAAGAACCATATACAATACATTCTCAATCAATCTGAAGAATCCTTTCATGATGCAAAGAACCTTTTAAGCATGCAAATGATTCTCTGAGTGTTTATGATTTTATATAGAACCACTGTCTTTACTAAAGAACCCTTGAAGAACCGTCTATTTTTAGGGGATAAAGTAAAATAATGTTTGGTTTCTCATCTGGGTGAGAGGGTGGGGTTGGGGTAACTTTTAGGCAGACCCATTCGAATGTCCTCATGAACCAACATTGGCCCACTTTGGGCAGCTCTGGTTTAATAGTTAACTAGTTTAGTAGTCAGTTTGTCTATTTTTCAAATGAAAGTACCCTCCTTTTTATTCAGAGAGTGGTCTTGCTGGTAAAGTTGGATGAAGAACAAGCATTACATGAGTTTTTTTTTCTTCATTACATGAGAAAAGCTCAGTACTCATAGATTAGCCTGTGCATTAGAACGAACATGTTTTCTCTAGAAACTTTCTCAAGATTTCTGACTATACTGTCTTAAAGGTAGGAAACCTAATACCAAATAACAATACTTAAATACCAAAACTTTCTTCAAGATAATCCCGATTTAATAAATCCTAATTTTCAATGAAAGATTTTCAATTAAAATACGAGCTGCACAGCAGTGAATGACCTGCTCAATTCATGATTCACATATTTCACACCTTCCATCTGGAAAGAGTGTAATTACAGTGCCGAGCAGCAGAGGGCAGGAGAGGACTTCCTTTCACATTCACATACAAATCCGTGACCAGAGCAGAATATCAGTAGAAGTGGTCAAACAGTCCATCTTTATTAAGGCACAATAATGACAAAAAATACAAAAGGTTAATGTTTTATTGTCAAGAATGTGTATTTTCCTCTTAGATGTTCACATAAACCATCAGCTTCCTTCACTCTGTTTCAGAGTTTTTTCCTGCCTATCCTATTAAAATAAAATAACACAAAATAGTATTCCTGAATATTAGATATTGGGAATAAACTGGTAAATCATTTCTGCTAAATCTGTTTACCAACATCTGAAATAAAATATTTACAGATTACATCTCACATTAAAAATGCCCAAAAACATGTATCTAGAAGTAAATACATGGGAAAGAAAGAAGGTCATGTAGTTTGGACTGCTTTAAAATAGTTAAATAAGCTAAGCTAGCTAATGCTAAGTAGTCTGTGAACTCCAGCAGTTTTTAAATAAATAATACACTGGCAGAATTGACATTCATTTCTTACATTGATGGGTTTGATGGGTTTGTACTGTCTGCTCACTTAAAGGAAGAAAACCCCCAAAAATGATGGATATTCCAATAAGACAATAAAAGATGCCAGACTGTTTATTAAGTGAAGTTCAGACATGATTTAAAACCCACTGAGATTGTGTGAAGCTTCACTGGCGAATATGTATGGAAGAAATATCCAACCACTGACGACAGTAGTGAAGAATGTCCAGGGAGCAACATTTCTTTAAATAATTTAAAAAAGTATAACAAAGTGTGAAGTGTTTATGCCAAGACAGGCTGGAAAATGCTGACAAACACCATAAACTACAGTGTGTATTTCTTATTTTGCCTTAATTGTTGGTTTGTCAGTGATAATTCCAATTTTATTTTAGATAGAAAGCACCTCATGGACAGATTGTATTCACTGTTGGGGTAACACAACACATTACAGTAATGTTATCATACATACTTTGTGCATGGTGCCAGCAACAGCTGACTGCATGACTTTGTCAAGGTGAACAGCTGGAGTGAACTAGATGATTATTCTGTTGTAGCACCATGTTAATCTCTGTAATATGAAAGCAGATATGTTACACAGGAGGAGAGCAGTCACTGGTTGAAATAGGAATGGGAAAGCTCATTACCCTCAACATGCTTTCTGTTTACGGAAAAAGAGTCCCACCCTCTGAGAAAAAGAGCCAATTAGCTTGTTGATAATGCTGCAAGCGGGAAAAATGTACTGATTTCGCTATTTTTGAATAATCAAATGTTTTCAAATGCATTCCTCTGTGTGGTGCTAGATTTTTGAGTAATACCAGTGCTGTCATCTAAAAAGAAAGCATACAGCCCTATTAATGTTGTCCAAACTCCTTTCTTTTCCATTTTTCTTCCCTTTCCTCAACCAAGGATCTGTTCATTAACTGTTAAGCACAAAGCCCATTACAATACTTGACCTTTCTGATTAGGGAAATGAAACTTTTAGACTTTTTCAAAGTAAAAAAGCCAGGTTTTTATTCAGAGCCTGATGAGCGAGCACTTAACTCATCAAGTCACTTCAAAAGGCAATCGAGGGAAAGACATTCCTCAGTACCTTCAGATGACAGCAGCTCAAGAGTTTAGCACCTGTGGTGAACCATGAACCTGGAGGCACTGACCGCTTCATATTTGGCTTACCAAAAAAATTAATGTAGCATATTATAATAAAGTTTTGCACAGATTTACTAAAACGGACAAAGAGGTAATGAGATTACATTCTTCCAGGAAGTAATAAGTAAAGTAATCCCATTACATTTTGAAAGAAGTCATTTGTAAGAGTTTCCTTAGTAGCTACCCCAACACTGCATGTATCCCAGTCACTCACAGAGTCAGTCACTCACTCACTCCCTCGTTCAGGTTCAGCAGGCTGAAAAGGGGCGACAAAATCAGACAAATAGTTTTTGATGCTTTGTAAGAGTGGTGCTATGACACTGTGTATCCATGTTAAATGATTTAAAGGAGAACACGTTTTTTAATGCTGTCCACAGACCATCTATAGTGGTTGGATTTTTCTACACCGCACATTTCCCAATGTAGCCGCACAAGATCTCAAAGGGTTTTAAATCATGCCAGAATTTCACTTAACGAACCTTGTGGTAACTTGCATTGTCTTGTCGGAGTATCCGTCATCAGTTGTAGTTTTCCTCCTTTAAGAGCAGACAGGATAAACACACTAAAAACTGTTGTTAATCATCAATGTGTGACACACAATTCTGTTTGGCTGCCAGTGTATAAATAAATAAAGTAAATAAATCAAAATCAGCTCTTCGGAGCAAAATGGCAAGGTTATGGTCAATAGGCTGCGCAGTTGAAAAAAACAGAAATAGAAAATTGACGTGTTTGATTTATTAAACAGCAGTCTTTAAAATAGTGGAGGCAAGATGTGGAAATACCAGCAGTGAGTCATAAATACGCTCGCAGGCTTTTCTCTCCAACTCAGGTCAAAGTTATAAACCTCTGCTGGAGATAATAGGTTCCCGGGCAGATTCCACTGCCTCTGTGCCATGACAGCAGAAGCAATTGATAAGACAGAACAGAGGCTCTCACAATACTTAGCTTTGAAATCATTTATCCTTGAATGACTAATCAAACGGCTGCAACAAAGGCTGGTGGCTGTTTGTTTAGAAGAGGCTCAGGGGGGTTTGATTGCTCTGCATGTCCTAAAAAGAGCTGCTCCTTATTATTAAGCCCCTTCTCTTAGGAGGAAGAATGATTGTTCAGTGCTATACACGGTTCACTGAAGGTTCAGATTCATCCTCCTTCTCCTTAACTCCCTCTGTTTTAGATTCATTATTCATGTTGCCTAGATTTATTACTGCAATGCATTGATTCCTACTCAAAATGAGTGTGTAATATGAACACAGTGTCATCGGTGTGAAGCACTACTCTAATGAGGCATTGAAAGTGATTTGGCTGCTATGGCACCCCTTTGTGGAGAATTTTAGCATGCTAAAGATTAGTGAATGAGTAAGTTACAAGCCAGTTCTGTGAGGTGCTTTTTTTTTCTAAAAAGGGGCCTCCACAGTTTAGAGGTGAAGAAAGGAAAACGAAGGAAAAAGCAGCAAAATCACATCACTTCAGACCATCTAGGGGAACCGGCACTTCTTAATGGGCAGCACAGCCAGCCAGTAATTGCAATTGCGAATTTCCTCATGGCCAAAAAACAGGACTGTTCAGTGTCATGATTAGGAGGGATCACACTAAGCACAAAGCCCATTACACTACTTGACATTTCAGACTTGGGAAATTATGCTTTTTGACTTTTTCAAGGCAAAAAAACCCCAGTCTTTCATTGAGGGGCTGATGAGCGAGCACTTAACTCAGCAAGTCACTCCAAAATCCAATCAGGGGAAAGACATTCCTCAGCTCCTTCAGAGGACTGCAGCTTTAGAGCTCAGCACCTGCGATGAACCAAGAACCTGAGACATTATCAATCAGGCCTGGGTAATAATGCCAGCTGAGACACTGCTCAAGTTCATGACGCTGGAGGCACTGACTGCTACATATCTGGCTTGCCAAAAAGAAAACCCTGAACTAATCTTAATTTGAAAAATTATAATACCTTCAAAGTGCTGCTGTATATTAACTAAAATGGCCAGAGAGGTGAGGTAATTAATGTGAAGTTTATGGAGCACAGAAACAGCCACAGGGAGGAAAGAGAAGGCCTTTTGATCAGCACTTGTGCATCAGGGACTGTGGCTATGGTCAATCAAATTCGGCACCACTGAAAATCGACCATGGCACTGGCAAAGGCTAATACTGAACTACCTACTGGGACCAGAGCTACAGCCTTTCACAGCTGAGAGCCTTTCCCCAAGTCTGTCGTTCTGTTGTTTGAAAACAAATAAAAATCATAATTGATATACTTGTTTTCCCGGAACACAATGCTACATTCTCTGCAAGATTGACCATATTGATAGATGTAAACCACATAAAAAGTACAGAAGACTAAATAAGAACAGCTGACGGTGGCACCTCAAAGATGATAGGGAAGATGAATGGGGGAAAAAGCCATGATAATGAGGCTGAAGTGACATTTTTTTTAAATGAAGGGGTAAAAATCTGCTTTTTCAGCTGCTTGTTGTTTTGACTCCATGAGAATTTCCATCTTGATCATGCCCTCGTATTTAGTCTGATGTCCACATGTATGGGAAACAAGCTGTGTGGTTCATGTCCATCAGTGTCTGCAAACACAAAGTGGAACCATATGTAGGACACGTCTGCTCTTCCAGCTCTCGCCATCTTGCTTGAAAAATGCATCTCCAAAAAAAAAATGCCTGCAAAAAGTCTACTTTATTAGAATCACCTACTGTGCACTTATGGGGTCCATTTTCCTTTATAGGTCCATGGGTGTACAAAAAACAGACTAGCCCATTTGCTTTCATGCACAATTCATCAGCCACCCTCTACCCTGTTCATCATTGTTCTTTTTTTGACCACAGGACCACTGTTGACTGGATATTATTTGAGAAATGGATCATTCAGGACACAGCAGTGTAACTGACATGGTAGCAATATGGTATTGTGTGCAATGCTAGTATGAGAGTATCAGACACAGTGGTGTTGCTGGAGTTTTTGAGCTCCAGTGTCACTGCTAGGTTTTAGGTCCCACCACCCAAAAATATCCAGCCAACAGGGGTCCTGTGGTGAAACTGACCATTGATGAAAGGCTAGAGGATGGCTTACATATGTATCAACAGATGGCCTACAGCCTGTAACTGTATATCAGCAAAGTCGACCAGTCAGGTACATAATTATTGGCACCAATCATAAAGATCAGAAAAAAAAATCTTTGTGGTTAATTAGCTCAATCTCACAATGAAAATACAGTGGCCAGTGAAAGCGTAACTTGGCAATGCTCAGTGGCCGAAGCCATCACATAAGTTAATTCCGAAGTCTTCTCCCAGAGGTTAGCCAGCTAAAGCCACAGTGGAGTGCTAAAATTACTCGAAAGTATACTGTATACCTAAAATCTGAAAGCAATCTTTTTTTCATCTCAAAAACCCAGCCGTGAAAGGATGTAAGATAAAGCAACCAACACACAAAAATTCATTATATCCCATTATCTTTAATTATCATTTATTAGAGCTGTCACATAGCAACAGAAAAAGTAATACACATAGCTCCCTGAAAGAGAAGCCTTACATGAAAATATCAATCTTTAAATCCACCAAAATAAATACTGAGTTTACAAAAGTTCTTCTACAAGTTATGGGGAGATTTACAACACATTCATGCTGAGAACTTCTGCCTTCGGGGCTTTGAGGTGTTACACAGTGGTGTTTGTCATTTACTGTGTGTGTCTGTATGTGTATGTATGTGAGAGAGATAGAACCACTTGGGCACGGGTACATCGGTGGCTTATTCTGAACAATACTCATGCCTACCCAATTTTTTGTCACACTTTTTTGAGGCAATACATTATTGTTGGTCAGATAAGCAAAGAGTCAAAGAAGTACAAAGCAATCAAGTGAAGACCCATCAAATTCTCTTTGCTGGCTAGCTCCTAGAAGTCACAGTTATTGCTGGTGGGAACAAAAGTGTGATGTAATTCGATACTAATTATTTCTTGCTTGTAGTTCACTAAACCAAGCAAAGAATTCCTTCTGAAAGTGAGGATTGTAAACTTTCAATTGATAACTCATCTGTTTTTGTAAATAGAAGAGGGAGTATTTTATTAAGATTTGAATTTGATGAAAAGTTATTATATACAGTCTTGTTTTGCTATTGTTTGACATCAAAAGGAAAAATTTGGGTGTGCACACTCGAACCTGTCGATACCACATGCAAATCAAATGTAAATGTACTTGCTTGTGCAGCTTACCATGTAAATAAATGCAGTTGCAATATCTGAACAGCATAGCAAATGAACGTAATAACTGTCACCTTCTAAGGGCTAGCTTTATGTACTTAACACCAGTGATGGGTCAATATGCCCCATCTACTTCAGCATGCATCCCTGTAGGCCGAGAGCAGACTTTTTGGACTCTGAATCCTGAGATACCCAATATCTACATCAACAGAGTCACAAACTTTCTGCTTGTGCTCAGCACATTGACAGTCAAATGTATTCTCCTCAAGCTTCAATCATTATAAAACTTCATCACAGCTTAAACAGCCTCCAGACTGACACTAGTGAAATTATGCAAGCGATTTCTTTCTTGATTGCCTCTGCTACTAAAATTGCTGAGTGCTCAGTGACTTGTGGTCAAAGGGTGCTACATAATTGAAAGCTTGAAGTGTCAGAGTGGAACCGGAGTATCAAAAATAACTCTCCAGACTGGCTGTTCATAATTAATATTCCTCAATACCATTTCATAATACACAGTAGGCACACTCGTCTGGGTAATTTCAAGGTTGATGTTGCTCCTGGTAAACAGATCTCGAACTGAGATAATTTCATCTTTTTATTTAGCATTACCAACAATTTTGTGTCATGATGTGGCGTCAACCCGCAAATGCTTGCTTAGTTTTACGAGCCAAGTGCAAATTGCTATGACCTCCTTTTACCTAAAATCAAATGGGAGGGAATTTTGTTAACTTCAGCCGCGGCAGTATCTTCTGAAAAATATAAACCTGCACGAGTACAAATTGGTTGTGAAGGCACGACCATGTACGTTTTTATGAACATCGTAAAATGAGAAGCCCATTGAACAGCTCTGCGGGACATGGTATGATAATGTGCAATCCATTGTTGACTTTAACTGCTATACTAAGTTGGAAGAATAATGCATTGCCTCTGACTGAAGCATATAGAAAGGATCACATGGACTACCATCAGATTCCTTGCATATAAAAATATTCCTATTTACAATGAAGTCAAAACAGACATAATATGCTAAGCTCCGACCTTTAGCACAGAAAGATCAGCTGGTAAAACCTTTTAACCCCAGATCAGACATTTCCTTATCCGCCAGAGAGCCTTTGTAGCTTTGTTGATAGAGAACGAGAGGAAGTTGAACCAGAGTGTTCCATCAAAGTGGAGCACACTATAGCTGTGTTCATTGAACTCCCTCTCTTTCTTCTTTGTGTTTCTGTCTTATTTTTTTGCTCTGTCAAGCCAACACATCAGCACGCGAAACACTTCAACAAATTTTACACAATTATCACATTAAGGAAACCAATCACAAAAGTTTTCTTCATTCATCAGTTTTAAAATTCTCCTATCATAAGTTTGGTCTTTGATAAAATATTGGCAACCAGAATACTGTTTGATCTATGAAAGCTATCATTAATGTATTATAAAAAGTGCTATAAGTGCTTTAATTGCAGAAGAGGTCATCATTTAGAAATAAAAGCATGAGGATAGTGCTAATTTCTACTGGTTTGATATTTATATTCTACTGTATATAATGTTCTGACAACCCTGTGTCAATACTTCCCTGTAAAATTACAATAGATTGAAAATATTTCCTCTGCTGAAATTAGCTGACACTGAAAACGCTGTACAGTTACAGATTTCTTGATATTTACATTCTTACATTCTTTAAATAAACTGAAACAATACACTTGAAAAGGGAACACTATCCTTTGCTTTACAGAGAGGCACAGTTGAAGGCTGAGAACACCTCTGGTATGTAGGCTGCTGTGTTTGTGAAAGACAAAAATCAGGGTTTGGCCAAGCTGTGTGCTTGAGGAACAGATAAGTTACAAGGAGCCATTCAGTACCATAACTGTTACGACGAAATACGGCTCATAATTTCTTTGTGATGTTTTCAGTTCTGCTTCAGCTAAAATAATATCAACATTGTGATTTATGAAGTCCACCTCGTGGTTCGGAGCAGCTGTATATGGGTTTGTTCTGTAACATCATAAAAGCTGGTTATTTGGGAAGCCCTCTCTCATAGAACTAGTCAGATCAGCAGATCCTCTGCTGTTATTGGCTTAAAGCAGCAGAAGCATCTCACTGTGGCAGAAACTCATGACGCTATGGCACTGAAGAGCTTACTATAGTGTTTACCGTAACAAATTAATCCTGGAGAGATGCTTTGAATGGAAATCATCGTTGAAATGCCTGTTTGGTGACAAAGCGGAGCCCTGGCCAAGTCAACATTGTCAACATAATTCAGCTTTGTAATTGGAGTGGCATGCTCAGAGATTGTGCGAGAAAAGCTCTCAAACAGAGAAAACCTGAAATGTTTGGCCTATAGCAGCTGATTATTCTATTTGTGACCAGAAAGAGACTGGTAAATTACATTTGTTTACCTTGATTGAAGTTAAATTCATTTTCTTTGTAGCATAATCTCATGTCATTTTAGTACACTAGTTTTTTGTGGAAACACCTTTTCCGTGACATCTAGAGCTACATATCTATCATTTTTCTGCACAAATTGAAAGTGATAAAAAAAAAAACCCTTTGAGATTTTTACTTCTTTCCATCAAACTGACTTTTTGTGATAAATATTGTTTACATAATGATTTTATCTGCAAAAAACTGTTGTCGCATAAGGTTTGATAAAAAAAAAAAATTGTGCACGTTTCAGGTATCAACACTCAATTTTTTGGTCGATACTCATATAAAAAATAACTTGCAATTTCAGTTTTCATAGCCTGCATACCTTGAAGCATTTTTCATAAAAAATCTTTTGCATGGAAACAGTATGATATCAGATGTCACATCTGCCTATTAGAGTGGACTTAATAGTCGGGTATGATGTATGTAATACAGACAATTTGCTAAATATTAGGTTCAGGGAATTTGAAAAATGTAGGTTTTTGTAAAACGCACATACAGCTGTCCTGTTTAAATGCTCCCCTGCATGAACCCGAACCAGTAATGTGTGTCTCAGATTAAAATCAATACATTACAGTTACTTTAGCCATGTTTCTTCTGTGGAGTCCAAAAGTTGCCCTGGCTTTAAATTCAACTAAACACCCATCAAGTTCCTCACAAATAAAGCTTAATAAATTTTGGTGTTTGCCAAACAATTTCCAAGTAATAGTTGCGGGAAACGATAGAGATTTCTCAACATACCAGGTCACTGTACCACAAATCTTTTACATTAGGATTAATTACATCCAAAAATAAAAGTCTAATACCTTTGGCAATATTTTTCACTTTTAGAGGTTGGATAAAATGTCTCAGTCCACCTCCTAGTAATTTGTTCCTGGACTGTCCTGCGTGAGTACGTGTTGCAGGTCCGGTAGGATGTGGTGGAATGGCACCTTCCAGTATTGGTCCTGATGAAGCAGAAGCCGGTGTCAGAAGCAGGATTCCTGTGACTCTGTGTCATTCTGCACTGACAGTTTCTCCTGTTCAATATGGTTTCCATTGTGAAGAACTGAGTACCTAGGAAGCAAAAAGAAACAGAAAGCCACATCAGTCGCATTGCCATGGTACCTTTTGGTTGCACCTCTAGGTCTGAGGTTCACGCCACACATACTTGGACAGTCCGTGTTGATGAATTCTCAATCAACTGATTTGGAGAAGGACTGAGTGGTTCTGGTGCTTCACTCCTGAATTGGATGGAGAGAGTAAGAAAACTTTAATTGCAAAGCCTGTGTCACAGTTAAACGGGAATATCAGCAGTTTTTCATAACTTCTTCATAATTCAATTGTTGAGATGCATACAAAGCCATTTAGATTGGTTTGATGTGAAATGGTGCATTCAGGAGAAACTGAGTGACAATGATATTTACTAGCCAAAATGACCAGTGAACCTACACAGGTCTTCTGAGTTTTTATATGTAATGTTGATAATGGTAAAATAGTTGTAAATATGAAAATACATTTTCATATGGTTTCACCCTGCATATACCTCTCCACTATGAATGGATTTTAAAATTACATTGTGGGCCCTAAAAAAACTTATTGGAAAACTATCATAAAATAATGTCTCAGGCATCAGGTAATGTATTAATAACCATTTTGTATAATAATTGTCTGTGATGTAGCTTTTTGAAGTATTAAACTCTTCAGACGTCTGGTTCCTATCACCATCACTGTCAACAATTTTGACACAGTAAGTTTCTCTAGAGTGGTGCATTTCACAGCCACTGCAAATGACTTTGTTTACATCTTAACCCTGTAATAATACAGAAATTTCAAAAAATCAGTGGATTTAGAACAACATCTTAAACATTTTGCAGCCTGTAAACAAGTTACTTTCTATTAGAAGTCCTTCAGATGTTCATTCATGGGGAGATTTATAAATTATTTCCTCAGTGCTTCAAGGATACTGATATTGCTGCAGTAAAGATATTACAAAAAAAGCTTTATAAATGTTTCTAAATAAAAAAGAAGGTTTTCATTTAAACATTTAAACACAGAAAACTCAATGTTTTCTTATTCAGAGTTCTTTTTGGTCTGTGGCCAAAAGCAATTTTTTATGGTAAAGAACCATACATGACTTTGGTCAGTGCTTCGAAGGATAGTGCAAATTTATAAAACCACATATGATTTGTGCACCAGCAGTGATACAGCATTTTGAGAAATCAGATATGAATACTGAAAACCCCATAAAGATGATCTGTAGATATGTAAAATCTGCAAAAGCCATGCAGGTCTCATTAAGTGTATGCTTCATGTTTCAAAAATACTCCATACTATTATATTTCACTGAATATGAATGATATGTTCAGCAAGAGCAAGGGGAATAAAGGATGATTACAGATATAAAATAACATCTTTTTAATCTACAAAAGGCATTCCTTCAAGCATATGAAATTGTTATAGTATATTTAAGCTATTTTCATGCAAAAATCTTACCTATCAATGATTCTTAAAAAGAAATTATTTAGCCTGTGATGGACTAATTATTGAGAAGGAAATGAATCAATGTAGCTCCTGGCAACCTGAAAGCCATTTCCAGATTTCAATACCTGACATGATGATAACCCTTTCATATGAGCTGGAAAAGTCAGGAAATAAAGTCTGTGGTGAGAATTCATAATGGGCTTCTATATACAGTAAGGGCTACGTGCAGCACAGTCAGCTCTCTTCTTAGAGCTGAGGTATTTGCTGGGCCAGAATATGATGCCTGAATGCTGCCCTATTACCTCCCTCACTGAAAGCAGCCCTCTGCCCCAAAAATCATTACAAACCCTTTTGATAAACAAGCAAACCGAAGGCAATTCCTGTCAAGAAATTGGGCATGAAATTTACCTTGAAACCCTTCACCCCCTCAAAAGTCACTAATGTTCCGGGATTCAGAAAGGAAACGTGCTACAGCTATTCAGTGAGGCAGAAAGCAGAATTGCTGCCACATTGCTGCTCTCTTACTCAACAATGTACTGTTTGTAGAGGTCCTGATCTACACAATCAGGTCTGCGCAGAACGGCAGGCTATTCTGAAGTCTTTTACGACAGAATGTCACCTGAAATGTCAAATTTTCCAATACAATACAGAAGTGTTGTAAACATGACTCCCCAGACATTTTTGTTTGGTATTTACAGTACTGTGCAAAATTTAGAGACCACCTTTTCATTAAATTTCAAGTCAAAATTGCAAATTTAAAAGTTTTTTTTCAGTGTCAGGAGAAAAAAACATATTTCACAGAAAATTACATAGAAGCCTCAAACACTACCTAAAATATCATTCTCTTCTATATTTAGTGTATCCACCCTTTGTCTTTATTATAGCTTCTATTCTTTTCAGGAGTCTTGCTTTCAGTTTTTTTCAAATAAATCTGTTGGGATATTTTTCCACACCTCCAAAGTTCAGTCTTAGAAGTTGGTTTCATATTCTACTTGTCACAATCTAAAAATCCCAAACACATTCAATGATGTTGAGGTCTGGACTCTGGGGTGGTCAGTCCATTGGTCTGAGAACACCAGCTTCTTCTTTGTTTGATTAATAAATTTTCTTCTTTTCTGTCTATTATCTTTTCTCAATTACCTCTTCTTGATAGTTACACAGCCTGTAGATTTTTCCAGTTCTGATGCAAGAGTGGAGATGAAAGCTTTAAGTGCTGTTTAGAAAAAAAAATTGTTTTAACTTGAAAAAGTTAGCGTTCGAACTGCGTTACAGTTTTGAGTTAAATGAATAGTAAGTTCACTGAGCAAGAATCTGCATTTTATGCCATGTCAACTTATGATTTGAAGTTCAAGTAACTCAAAATTTTAAGGCAGCCCGGATACTAATTTTTAGTTAAAATCTTTTTCTTTTTTTTGACAGTGTAGGAGTCCCATTTTCTTTATAACATTTAACAAATTTTTGGTCACTTACTTTACTTTGACTAATCTTCTCAGAAATATATCTCCAGATATAAAAAATGAGCAACTTGTACTTAATGGCTGTTTTGACTGTATATGAAGGGTGATGAAGGGTGGTCTTTGACTTTTGCACAGTTTGTATATGTAAAATTTATTTCACAGAAACAGTGCTTTAACTGGATGTACTACACACCCTCAACATTAAAAGATTACAGAGTCTTCTTGGTACGGTGGTCAGCAAATAGGCGCATCAACATTTGAGTCTTGCTGAGAAACAGTATGTGCAGCACAGATTTTAATTAAAAACATTGCTCTTTAAAACTGACTAGAAGCTTCTGTGGCAGATATATACATGGGGTCAGCATTTGTGCTGTCTCTGCTTCTGTGGATTGTGTGTGCGGCTGTGTGCCTCTAAATCCCACGGAGCAGAGCCAGCATGAAAGAGAATGACACAGAGAGAGAGGAGGAAGAGAGGGATAGAGAAAGGGTGAAAGAGAGGGATAGAGAAAGGAGAAAGAGAGAGTGCTGTATGTTTGTTTTCACTTCCGCTTTTCCACTTCACTGACATCATTTAAGTCCAGTCACTCTTTTCAAGTCTGCTAGGTGCTTTTCCAACAGTCCATGGCAAGCCATCTGTAGTGCAATACAGCACAGACCACATCAACCTCTCTCTGGGGGGCTTCCCTCACTATGGAAAGATGGGAACAGCTTTCGAGACATTTGCCCTGTTCGTGTCCACTGAGTCCAAAATATCGCCTTCATTTCAAGAAGACCCAGCTGAACTCTTCATAAACAGACGGCCAAATGATTTATCTTCTGAAGATCTCTGAGTATTCACACAGCAGTAAGGACATCACAGAAAAGGCTCATAAAAGGCTCTGAATAAAAGGATGTGAAGGTTCTGCATTCAAGTATCCGTATCCTACATTTTACTTGTATAATATTTTTGCCTTTGAGGCTGAGTTTTGACATTTGTGTGGTTTCATGCACCAGAAGCAGTCATAATTCATTTCTACATGGCCATTCCCAACCTCTCATTTTATCTCTTATAATTAAACAGGCTGTACCTTTAAGGCTGAAATAGGTAAATAGCCATTGTTATGACTGGTTCTCCTGTAATGTACCTTGTTGAAAAGGCACTCCAAGCAATTTCAATGTGAATTAGTGGGATAAACTAGTATGAATAAGTGGATATACAGGTGTATGCAAGAGTTTGAACACCCCAGTCAAACTACGTTTTATTGCTTTTCTGAGTGAATTAATTTAACACATCCTCTACAGAGAACATACATTTTTATATGGCATTTGTCTCCAATGTTATGTCCACAATTTCTATTTGTTGAATTTAACATATTGTAAAAAAAATTAAAACAAAAAATATAAAATGTAAGATGTGAAATGTAACATTTGCACAGGACACAATTTATTTTGTTATTTGTTGTTTTTTTTTTAATTTGTTAAATCCTGCAAATAAACAGTAACTGCGCATTAAAATGTGTTGCATATAGAAGATATGTACTTATTTTCACTTAGAAAATCAACAAAACATATCATTTGATTAGGGGTGACCAAGCACAATGGGCCAAATGGGTGTAAATGTGATGGCTTTTGTGACATCACAAATATAGTGAACTCAAAATGGACCAGGACTATTGGTACGTTTTGAATGATATGTTTTGAAACTTTAACAATGTTTATATACTACATCAATGTTTCACCTGATGATGGTTTAAAGAAATAGAAGCAATAACACAGTGAAATAAACCCACAAATGTCATGGCTTTTTAGATTCAGTAATTTTTCAGTAAAGTTATAGCTCCAAGTGAGATATATTACACATGGTGTGCTGAAAACATAAAGCAACAAAAGGTGACATTACAAAAATAACACTGTGTAGTCGGTAAAAAGGAAAGGTGACACTAAACCTTGGTTATAAGGTTTTCTTATCTATCCATAGGACTGCTTTGTGATGTAGGTTCTGACACTAGCTCTCTGATTTCAGAGAGAGAAGAAATGCAACCTAAGCTGGCGAAACAGAGGGAAAACTCTCTCCTACTGCAGAGGGCTGGGATTAGCCAAGACAAGGCAAACTGAGATAACTTACTCCACAGTATGATACCATCTGCAATTTCAGGC